GGAGGGAGGGAGACATTCTCTTGTTAAAAAAAAAAAAGAGTTCCTGAATAGGACTTAAATTGTTTTTCTGAAGTTAACTATGTATCGTGCTGTTAGTACCCACACTGCAGGTCAAAACACTTTGGCATGCAGTGTGGCTATCTGAGCTCCTATTGAGACCGGACTGGGTTGCTGTTCCTGAGTTCATGTCCTGAAGGTACAGTCAATGATCAAAAGTTCCTGACAAGCCGTTACGAGCTAAAGCAAATTGACACCACAGACCAGGAGTTAAGAGTAAAGCAAGCACAAAGTGTATTGGAAGGATAGCAAAGCCCCCTGACGAGTGGGATTTAGTGAAAGAGCTAAGCCAAAGGATGGCTGGAGCTCATGACATTAAATAGGGGCTGCCTTAGGCACCCTCCCCACTCTACTTTTGAAGCTGTAGCTATAATTGGCTGTTTGATCAACTTCTTGCTGACCCCACCATCTGGTTGCCCCTATCCTTATCGGGCCAGACATTCCAAGAGTGTCTCATCCTTCTTGTCCTTGAAACCTGTCATGGACATTTTATGACTACCCTCATTCTGGTGAGACCCGTCTTTGTTTTTCTTGGGAAAGTTTGCTGTGTCACTCTCCTTTAGGGGTCTATATTTCATCCCTTTAGATGCCTGCCCTTAGGAATGTTTTATCTTGTTTTCCTTGTCTAGGAAGAGAAACTGCTGGTTTCTCAGTCTCCCTAAATGTTTTGCTTTTAAGTATGCCTTCCTATCTCCTTTATCTAAAACAGTTACTTCTGCCGTCTTTCCCTTTACATCCCCAAGGTTATTTCTGCCGTTTGTTCCTTTATACCTCAGGGTTGCCATTTGTTCCTAAGGACATTTCTGCCATTTTATTTCCCCTTACACTTGTCCCCTTACAGTATCAGAACTTCAAAGACAATTCTCTGTTTACACAACTCAGAGACTTTCTGAGAAAGCCCTGCCCGGGGCTGTGGTATTACAGTACTTTCAGGGAAAGGACATACATTCATGCTCTCCATCCATTGCTCTAGATCCTGATGGAAAATCTGCTCCCTAAGATGTGGAGCTCTGTGGGGAGATCATCCCACCTCATCCTGAGTGCTGGAGGAAAGGGAAACCCTCCATCCTATTTTAAAGGGAATGCACTGGATGTGAGTGTAATATCCACCGATCAGAAACCATTACAGATGCTTTGAAATGTGCATGGTGAGAACAAGGGCAGCTCACCTGGCGTATGAAGGATTTCATTCTCATTGATCAGCAAGGCTGGGAGGGAGGAGATCGAATCCAAGTTCTCCAGTGACCACTGAACTGGCAACATTGATTTCTCTGCCAACCGATATTTGGAAAACTTTAAGACTCAGCAATTGTTGAACAAGCCGAGTCCTTTGGACAAGAAGAAATAAACAATAAGCCTTCACCTCCATCACGGAATGGTGGCAGCATCGAATTAACTGATACCATTTTTGCTGAGTTTTAGTCCCGTGTAATTTTATTTTTTAATAAAGGCAACTTATATCATTGATGTTATCACCAGAGGGTGGATGAGGGGGCTCCCACAGCTTCCCAGTTTCCATTCAAAATCACAGGTCCTTGAGATCCACAAACATTGGAAAGCTTTTCATGGTGTCTCACAACAAGGAGTCTATTTTAGTATAACAGGATAAAGTATAGACAAGGGGGAGGGAGAGAGAGAGAGAGAGAAACATTTCCAGCCCTCATGCAGGAAATGGGAGCAAAGACTCAAAATGGTAGAAGTTCTAGGTCAGATGTGGGTAGGGTTAGCTTCTCCTGGGCCTCTGGAAAAGCCCATCCATCATAGACAGCTGCCTTCCCTTGTATCCTCACAGTCTCCCTTGTGTGTGTCTGTGTCCTAATCTGTCCCTGTTTCCAGGAGATCAGCACAGGTATCTCAATTTGCAGTACTATGATAGAATTCAGGTGAGATCCAAAATGTAGGAAAGTGATAGCAAAGTTTATTAGGAGAGGAAAACACTTTCCATAGACTGAAAGCCAAAGTCTCAAGGGTATTAGCTTTTGGAGTTTGAGTATTTATTGAGATTGCCCTGAGAAATTCCTGTGGCTAGGTCCAGTCTACAGGGCTGAGGTCACAGAGTAACAACACGGTCACAGACCTACGAGACATTTACAGAATTACGAAGTCCAATCACAATTGGGTCCACCTGACCCTGGGGTATGGTTTAGGGCCTAGGTTTTTGTTGTGTTAAGATCTATTGTCCCAGCAACTGTTGTCACAGACCTACCTTAGGGTGGGTGGCAGACTCAAAAAACATCTTGGAAATCCCATGACCTTGGTGGACTATTTTGACCTTAACAGAAGCTTGTCACCTGTGAGTTGGAAGATTTAATTTAATGTTTTGTGGTCTCTTCTTTCCTTTCCAGACCTAGGTGCTACCTGTCAGTCTGGCAGGCCACTGTCTCAGGATTGGTCAGGTGGGGCCTTGTCACAAAGAGTCATTGCTGCCTGGCAGATGGTCTTTTACTCTTGTTCAGTCTTTCCAAGATCCCAAGAAGGCTGCAAAGCACTGCAGGAGAGAATGGCTCAGAGCAAAGGACACAGATAAAAATGGAGGCTGGGACCCTCGCTTTTACCTTGCCCTCAGTTAATTCTCAGGCCAAGTTCAGTGCTTTTCAGCAAAAACAGCTTGTTTTTATTGTTTTGTTTTGTTTGTGGCACTGGGGCTTGAACTCAGGGCATTCACCTTGAGTCACTCTGCCAGCCCTTTTTGTGATTGAGATCTTTGAGATAGAGTATCACAAACTGTTTGCCTGGGCTGGCTTTCAACCTTGATCCTCCCGATCTCTGCTCCCGAGTAGAGGAACCAGGATTACAGGTGTTTGTAACTATCTGTTACACGAAGCCTCCTCAGAATCAGACTGCTCTGAACGTTCACAGACAGCACTGCCACCTGCTGGCTCACTTGTGGGGAGCACAGCACTGCCACCTGCTGGCTCACTTGTGGGGCCACAGCCCCACCTCACAGTGTGTCATTTGTAAATGAGAGCACACCACTGCACATTACACCCACACATGTGTGCCTGTACACAGCAGCTTGGTGAAAATAATGGTTTCGAAGGGAGGAGGTGGGGGCAGGGGGGAGAAATGGCCCAAGCCTTGTATGCACATATGAATAATAAAATAATTTTTAAAAAAAGTGAAAAAGAAAGAAAATAATGGTTTCGGGGTCACAGGAATGCCTGACCCCTGTGGCAGGACTTCTCACGTGCATACCTGGCCCCATGCCCCATGTCTCTGGCCCAGCCGACCCTCCTCCAAAGCCCAGAACAGCTGCTCTGGTTCCCACCAGACCCTGCTCATGGCTCAGAAAGGTCTGCTGCTCCAGTGTGCTCAGTGCATGGGCACTGGGTCTGCCTGGCACGGAGTTAGCTGAGGGGCGGGGATGGGGACCATAGTGTCCTAGGGATTTGGCCACCAGCAAACTTAGCGCTGGGGGACAGAGCACCAACCACCCTTTCAAGCATGGATCCTGTCCCAGGCAAGGTGCTTCTCATGCAGTCACTGTAACCTACACATGACCTTGGGAATTAGGACAACTCCACTTCATTAAAGAGGAAACACATCACAAGGTTTCCTGTCAAAATGTGGTCTAGGACTACAGGTGTGTCCTCCCTAAAGCCTTGCTCTTCCCTCTGCATGAGGATCTGGGGGGTGGAAGGGCCTATGCAAGAAGACACTGTCTGGCTGCCTCACAAGCCTGAGGCCCAAGTTTCAAACCCCAGTACTTAAAAAGAAAAAGTCAAGTTAAGAAGACATTGTCCCCTGGTGCCGGTGGCTCACGCCTGTAATCCTAGCTACTCAGGAGACAGAGATCAGAGGATCAAGGCTCGAAGCCAATCCAGGCAAATAGTCTGCAAGACCCTATCTCAAAAAAAACCCACCTTGAGTGGCTCAAGGTGTAGGCCCTGAGTTCAAGCCCCAGTACTGCAAAAAAAAAAAGAAGAAGAAGAAGAAGACACTGTCTGGAGCTACAGACCCTGGGTCCTGTTCTGTCTCCTTTGTAGTGGGGATGAAACCAGAGTTTCAACCCAAGGCCCAAACTCCTGATATTCCATATGCCAGGTTTGGCCACACATCCCTAAATGCCAATAAAGAGGTGTGAGATTTATTACATGGCTCAGGAAAAGCCAAGGGAAGAGGCAGAGTAAGCACTCACTCTGCTCATCTTCAGCCATCTGTGGGGTTCAGACATGAGTTATAGGTTTAAGTAGACAAAAGAAGGGGGGCAGGGGACAAAGGTATGCATAAACAGTTCAGTCACAGGTGTGGTCTGATTGGTCCTTATCTCAGTCCTTGTTCTGGGAGAAGTTCCAGGAGTTATCTGGATTCAGGTGGTCCATCCTGAGGAAGGTCTACTGTTGGGGATAGTTTCTGTCCCTTGTCATGAAGATGTTATCTGTCTTTCCTGAAATCCAAAGTGATTGCAAAGTGACTGCAAAGAGAATAGCTTAGAGCAAAGACAGATACAAAAGGAGCCAGAGATGCCAAGCTTCTCCTGTTTTTAGTAAATTTGTGGGCTCAAGAAGGAGTCAGTGCTTTTCGGAAAAAGCAATCTGAGTGCCTCTTACAGGGATGATCTGGTTTTTCCATTTTATTCATCCCCTCCACAACCCCCTCAGCCCCACCTCTGATGGATGAACTTCTACATCTGGACCTCAGACTCAGGCCTCAACAACCAGCTTGCCCTGGAGGCTCTCCTCCCAACCAGGGCACACAGGCAACCCCTAAACTAAGCCCCCAGTTACCTCCCCCATTACAGCCTTCCTGACCTATGGCAATAGGACCCATTTTGAGGCTGGGGTGTTTGGTTCCAGAATCCCTAGGGTTTGGGTCAGAGCTCAGGTGGCTTCTAAGAATGGAACAGCCATGGCTGAAGCTCTGCCTTTGCCCCTTCCTGCCTCCCAGGGTCTCCCAGTCAGGGGGAGGGCCCAGCTGCTATTTACACTGATGACCTTGACCCCATGAGGCGGGGCCTGTCCCAACACTGTTTACCTGCCTCTGCAGCCCAGAGCCCTTTGGTGTGTGCAGTGCGGATTCAACCCAGATTCAACCCGAGCTACCCTGGCACCAAGGTTGGTGCACCTCTGTACCTGCTGCCCAGGTCTTTGTTCCTGAAGAAAGCCGGAGTCAGCCAAGGCCACTGACCACTGGAGCCATGGTAGGAGCCCAAGGCATGGCCAGTCCAGGCAGCCAGGCTGTGTCCAGACTGGGCCTGGGAGCCAGGCGTGGGAAGGCAAAATTGGGCCAGGTCTGGCTATGGAGGAAGCCTTGGGATCCCTCTTGGAGTGGACTTGAAATTCTGGGGAGTTCTTGGGACATTGGGAGAGGTGTGGGAGAAAAAGGCTTGGGCTGGACTCCAGTTCCTTCACTAGGTTGCTGTGTGAGCTTGGAGAAGTTACTTCTCCTCTCTGAGCCTCAGTTTTGGCTACTTGAAAATAAGAGTAATATCACCTATTTCATGACAATACTGGAAGGTCTGAGTCAGTTATGACATAGAGCACAGTGCTTGGCGACACAGTGGCATTAAAAAAGCAAGAATCTTAGCCCCAGGAGTCCATGCTATAGGCTAGAGGCCAGGAGACTCTACTGCAATAGAACTCCACAGACATGCCCTTTCCTGCTGGAGAATCCTGGTAGGAAAGCCCTGTCCGTCTCGGGCCTCCAAGGCTAACTCCTGCCCTAACCACCAGTCTTTCCACTGGACCCTCAGTGAGGTGCCCACAAAGGCACAGGCTGAGTCTTACTTCCTAGGACTCTATCCATGACCTCATCTATCCCCTTTGACATAAGAATGGGCAAAATTTTCCAGACAGCCTGCCCATCTGACCAGGAGGTCAAGGAAGACACCGGCCGGAGGTCCTAAGTGTGGCCACATGGCATCAGAGCTGCCAGTGCATGTTTGAGCTTCCCGGTGACCCTGACCTGAGAGCTGCAGAAGGCAGAGGAGGGGGCAGGCCTGTGCTACACGCGTGGCCTTGACATCCCCCCTCTGCAGTGTGGAGGGTTCGGGGCAGTGACATGACAAGGGGGTGAAATTAGGACAGAATATGGCTGCTTGCCTGCTGAAACCTGGCTTTTTTTTTTCCTGGTACAGGTCCACGGGCACAAAGGAGTCCAGTTCCAAAACTGGGCAAAGACCTATGGCTGTTGCCCAGAGATGTACTACCAGCCCACCTCCGTGGAGGAGGTCAGAGAGGTAGGTGTGCATCTCCACATCACGCCCAGATGCCCCGTCCTGGTAACCACAGCCCTGACCCCAAGCAGAGGCTGGAGATGGAACTTCCTGGGCTTAGATCCCAGAACTGCTGGCCCGGCTCAAGCTCCATGAAGTCAGCCAAATGCATGTCCCTCTTTCCCTGGTTCCAGTCCACCTAGCAGCCACTATGACTTTCCACCCCACCTCTAATCTGCACAGCCACGCCGAGGACCTCCAGATCTGCGCTTGCCACTCAGACCTCTGCACTGAGCTGCACGCACAAGCACGTGCACACACACACACTCTCACACTCACACCCAGAATACTGTGAGCAGAACTGGGGACACTGGGAGTACAGGAAGTGAGGGGGACAGCTGAGGGGTCCTGGAATTGGCTTTCAGGGTGAGGTGGGGACACTGGAAGGCAGAGAGGCTACGATAGATCAAGGAGCCATGAATGCTGGGGCAACTGGAGGAAGAGGAAGGAAGCTGGAGGTGTGCTGGCTGGTGTAGCTGCATGCAAAGATGGTTCTGCGCCACCCTGCCTCACCCTCCAGCCCCCCAACCCGGCTCTGAAGTACTAACAGGGTGCCAGTGTCCAAGGTGGACTGGCAGGATCCAGTTAAAAAAAAAAAAAGGAGTATGGTCAAGGTAGTGCCAGGAAAGTCCTGTTAGCGTAGGTAAACAGATGTCTTTCTTGCAGAACCTCATGGCCTTAAATGTGCTGTATGCCTGGTGGGTGGGGAAGCTGATGAGAGAGACCAGTGTTTCCCAGTCAATTCCCAGCGGTCCATGGCATCCTTGTGGTATGCCTTGTAAAGTTACACTCCCTGGCACAAATAGGACAGTGTCTGAGCAGGGCCATAGCAGTAACTGTGAATCAATTCTTTTACTTGACATCAGGCATCCCTCTATTCATCTAACAGTCTTTAGGTGCTACCTATCTGTGCCAGGCTTGGACAGACACTAGAGATACAAAGTCAATTTCACCCACTGTTCTGGCCCTTGAAGGGTCTTGATGCTCATGTGGGATGCAGTCTGGAGGTCCTTGTAGCAAAGATGCAGAGCCCAGGGCTTGTCCCTAGGTTGCTGGGGACCCTTGGAAGGTTTTCCTGTTGGTGCAGGCTATGACAGAGTCTGCTTTTAGAAAACTTCACCCCGGGCCAGGTGTGGTGGTACACATATGTAATCCAGCAGAAGTAGAGGCAGGAGGATCACGAGTTTGAGACCAGCTTAGCCAAAGTTAGCAAGACCCTGTCCCCAAAACAAAATACGAATGAAAGGGCATGGATCAAGTGGTAGAATGCTTGCCTAGCAAGTGTGAGGTCCTGGATTCAACTTCCAGTACTGTAAAAAGGAAGGAAGGAAGGAAGGAAGGGAAAGAAAGAAAAAGAAAAGAAAGGGGAATAAAAACAGGGAAGAATGAGCCAGAGCCTCCCACTAGGAGGGCCTTGGTTCTCTGCCTTGCTCACCTCTGGCCCATCTCTCTGGCTCTCTTTCTGAGTGGCAGGTACAGCTGCCTGGAGTCAACAGAGGCCTCCCAGGCTTGGAGGCATCACCCGGACCACCCATGCCCCCGACAGACCAGGCCCCTGCATGCTCTCTGGCTTCCTCTCTGAGAAAACGCATTGTCTTTGCAGGTGTTGGCCCTGGCCAGGCAGCAGAACAAGCAGGTGAAGGTGGTGGGTGGTGGCCACTCGCCCTCGGACATTCGCCTGCACTGATGGCTTCATGATCCACATGGGCAAGATGAACCGGGTCCTCCAGGTAGAGGAGCCCTTGACTCCCCACCTTGGCTTGCCCCTAGGCTAGACAGTCTCCATCTATCCCAGATGACCTGGGCAGAAATTCCTCACCCTATTTCTGTCCCTGACTTCCCAAATTGGTGCTCTGATTCCTGCCATATCCCTGAGCACCCTCACCTGAACCCTCCCTGGGCTTGCTCAGGCCTCTTGTCAGATCCACCCGTCGGGCCACAGAGATATCCAGACCCTCCCACCAGATGGAGAGGCTGAAGCTCAGGGAGTATCTGTAACTCACCGGGGGCCACACAATCAAACAGCAGCAAAGCTGGTCACAGATCCAGGACTGACAACTGCTCCATGCTGGAATAACATCCATGCAATTCAGACAGCACCTGGTGCCTGCCAGTGGTTCATAACACCGATAAGGACTCCTATTCTCCCCTTCAGAGCCAGCTCCCCTGAGCTATAAGCTTTGCCAAACACCCTCCTCCTCTCCCAGTCTGCTAGCAAGGATCAGTGTCTCTATTTCCTTCCTTGCTCAGGCAAACATCCTAGCCAAGACATCAGTCATGGCAGTAATTAACTCTGATTGCTAATTAGCGAGGACTGGGCTCCAGCAATTGACTTTCCCAAGCTCCGTGCTCAGGGTCAGTGGAATGAGTCTGTGCCTTGAAGTTGGAAGGACATGGGTTCTCATCTAAGTTCCACCACCCATGATGTGTGACTCCAAGTCCCTGGACCTCAGTGTCACCTCTGTGAAATGCAGACTGTTCCCATAGCCCAGGGCTGCTGTGGGGATCGCATGACACAGTAGCCAGTCTGCAGAGCAGGCCTGGAACAGAAGTTAGGTCTCTGCCCTTTCCTCTCTTGTTCTTAGCCTTCACCCAGGTCTTCCCAGGGTGAGAGCAAGTGGAGAACTTACACACCATCTGACCAGGTCAAGACCTACAAAAACAGACACTCTTGCCTTGATTACTTTGCACAGCAGCACAAGGGAGTCCCACCTTTACAGTCTAGATGGACTGGGGGCCAGAGGTGTGGCAGAATCCCCAGCCTAGCTAAACCAAGGTGACTCTGTGCAGAGTCTCCCCGTCCCTGACCTCATTTCCTTACCCTATGAAGAGAACAGTTGTACAAAACATTCCCAAAGTCCTGCAACCTCAGGCTCAGTACCCTTTTGGCCACCCACAGCACAGGTGGTTCTCACTGACTACAGGCTGGGACAGATACACACCTATTCCCAAGGAGCCTGGCTGTGGGGGTAGGCAGGTGATGGCCTGGCTCCTCCCAGCCTGTGCTGGCTCTTGCAGGTGGACAAGGAAAAGAAGCAGGTGACTGTGGAGGCTGGCATCCTCCTGGCTGACCTGCACCCTCAGCTGGACAAGCATGGCCTGGCCCTATCCAAGTAAGAATCCCTCCCCACTTCCCATGGGGCCAGGGCTGCCTACCACCCCCTGCCCTGGTCTGGGTCCATACTCAAAGATCTGATGGGAGCCTGAGAGCAGCACTTCTCATTGTGAACCCTCTTCTTAGAGCCCCAATTATTGCCCCTTGAGTTGCCTGTCTCATCCCCTAGAGACTCCAGTGCTGTTAGGGGGGAATGTTACCATCTGGGGAGGGGGTGAGTGACCTCCTAGGTGTGAGTGATCCGGGTTCTTGGCGAATCAAACAAAGAACTGGACAAAGTGCACAGAAGTAGCAAGCAAAGCATAGATTTGTTGCAAGTGGAAATACACTCCCACAGAGAAGAAAGCAGGCCTTAGCATAAAAGCTTAAGGCCCCAATTCTGTTTGTGTGTTGTACTTTAAGACCAAAGCTGGACTTGAAGGGGGGAGCAAAAGGGACATCCCTCTGATGAGTGACAGCTTTGGTTGGCAGGAGAATGTTGCACAACTTATTTTTGACTATGAATTCCCTGCCTATAATGCATCCTTGTTATAATTACATCCATGAGATGGAACCCATATGAATGAAGCTTTAAGGAGGGGCTGTGTCTCAGAAGGTCACCAGAGGACAGGCTCCCCAGCCCTCAGCTCATGCCCTAACTTCAGGACTTTCCCCTCTGTGCAAACATCCTCCCTTATCATGATACAGCCACCACTCAGCTGACCACACAAAGGGCGTCCTGAGGACGTTCCAACCAGATACCTCCTACAGGAAACAAGTCTTAGGCAGAACTTGGATTAGCACCCATTTATCCCTTCTTGGCCAACCCACACTCCCCTATGCTCCTGCCTCAGGAATAGAAAGAAACAGGCCCGAATTGGGCTGCACATTAAGTAATAGTCTTGAACAAGGGTGGGACAATTGTGGATGAAATCTTTCTGAAAACTTGCAGTTAGAAACTTCAGGGATCACAACACAAGGGCACGAAAAATAAGGGAGAAGAGCGCCATGATTGAGCCACAGGACCTCCTGTACCTCTTCATGGCTTCACAGTCCCTCCTCCAAGTGTGATGTCAGTGACTACTCAGGTTTAGTATCAGGAAACAGAAGTCAAATGCAGCCGACAGAGTAAATCTCTAACTGAGGATTTCAACCATTAGATAGAGGTGACAGGTGTTTTGAACATTCGTGTAGCAATCTCTTTGCAGCTGAAAATCAGTCCCTTGAATACCGTGGCTGGTCTTCAGGTGAGGGTAGTCTGCTCACCTTGGCCTTCCTATCGTAGGCTTGAGGGATCGCAGTTCCTTGGCACTCTGGCAGCCATTGTTCCCAACAATGATCTCCATTTACAGATGAGGAAACTGAGATACAAGGCAAAGGAATTTCCCAAAGGCTTGCCATTGCTGCCAGGAAGCTGGAAAGCTCTGTGTAGGTGGTATGCTAGGTGAGGAGGACGGAAGACCATTGCATAGGGAGGGTGTCCTGGGTGCAAATCCTGACTCCACCTCTTACTAGCAGTGGGTAAGCTTCCTGGGCCTCTTAGGCATCGGAGTGCTGTCTAGAGAAGGGCCTGTAGAATTGGAGCGCTTATGGAACTGAATGCATTAAAGACGTCCCTGGTGCGCTAGGAAGGTCATGGTTCAGGTCCTCTGGGCAAAGAACAAGACCCTATCTCAAAAATAGCAAAAAAGCACTGGAGGCTCAAGTAGTAGAGTGCTTGCCTAGCAAACACAAGTCCCTGAGTTCAAACTCAAGTACCCCAGAACTCCTCCCCCCAAAAAAAAAGAAAAAGAAAAAGATGCCCTTGGCTTTGTCAATGCTCCATCCATGGACTTTGGATGTGACCGTTCCCTCCCCCTCTTCATTATTGTCACCTTCTCAGGAGCCAAAGTCTCATCCTCCCTTCCATGGCCTCTCTCCCCGAGGTCCTCCCTTTCACTTATTTCCTTAAGCCTCAGTCTCCCTGCACTTCCTGGAGAAGAGAAGGTCATGCTTTGACTAACCAACCCCCTTCGTGGCGTGTGGGTCATTCTCATTTTTTATCACGATAAATAATGCCGTAATGAATGTCTTCATGCATGTGCCTTCCCACATCAGGTGTATTTTCCTAGGACAGAATTTCTGTGATCCTCTTTAGACAATCTGGTACTTTCATAAGGGGTAGTATTGTCATCTGACCCAATCAGTGTGGACAAAGAGACCCAAGAAAAGAAGGTGGTGGGTGGGAGGAAGGCTACACATTTCTCTCGACCTCTAACTGTTCAGCAGGGGCAGCACCCAGGTATCCTTTTCCTTCCCAGGAAGTTATGAAGTGAGGTTTTCTATTCATCAAATCGCTTCAAAGGTAGAGAATTCAAACTTTAGTCTATTTTACCTCCCTCAAGGGCTGGGTCTACACTGAAGCCAGAACAGGTCAAATCCTCACCGTTCATTTTCCAACAGGACCCAGGCCCGGCCCATTCCTATGGGATCTGAGGTTACCTGGGGTGTCGGGACCCTGGGAAGCACTAACTCCTCTGGCCCTCAGTGAATACTTGTCTCCTTCTCCCTTAAGCCCTAGTTTAAGGGAGAAAATGCCTGAGAGTTAACACCAGGAACTTCCTGCTCTGACAGCACATACCTGCAGAGAGGTTCTGCTCCCCTAAAGGGGTCTGTCTCCTCTTACTCAGTCTGGGGCCTGGGACCCCAGGATGACAGGCATAGCCTTATCCTGGAACCCTGAGCAATCTCTGAGGGTTTCTAAGCAGAGCAAGTGACAGGGGCTCCTTCTTCTGCCCCCACCTCCACCAGCTCAGGAAGAATGGGCAAACGCAGACCCTTCTGGTATGTTTATTTGTGTGATGAGAGCCAGAGCAATTCCCCAAGATCTTGGGGGACTGGGTGCAGAGCAGTTGGAAAGAACATGTGGCCTTTGTTATGGAGATACTGCTGGAGGATAGAGGTCAGGGGCCTTATAGGCTGCAGAGACCCCAAAGCCAACGCAGGCAGGAGTCTGCCCAGACTGGTCCTGGTCCATGTTCCCGTGTTCCTACTGGCTCATCTCCCAGCCCACTGAGGCCAGGAGACTAAAGCCCTGAGAGAAAGACCAAACCAGAGTGTGTGGGGGGTGAGACTCCAAGCAGAGGATGAGCAAACTCTTGTGCCTTGTAGGGGCCCCCACTTGATCCAGGAGAGCCTTTCACCCCAAGAAGCCTAATTAATCTCTGGTGTCCATCTCACTTCCCCCCAGCCTGGGAGCAGTGTCTGACGTGACGGCAGGTGGCGTCATTGGGACTGGAACACACAACACTGGGATCAAGCATGGCATCCTGGCCACCCAGGTGAGTCCACATGCTTGCACAGGTAGAGTAGCCCATCGACATGTGGGCCTCTACCCACCCTGTCTCTCCTTTGACAGAGACTTGGCAGGTGTCCCCCAGAAGCACATTTTCTTCTCCAAACCTCACCTGTCACAAAGGAGCCCCAGCACGGGGATGCTGTAACAGTGGCAGGGTGCCCTTTACCTTCATCTCTCCAGAGTCTCACAGGCACCATGTGGCAAGGGGCAGGCAGGGCAAAGGGTGCCATTCCCATCAGAAGGTACAATTAGGAGCCAGGTAGCAGCTGGAACCACCCAGGGGAGCAAGTAGGGACGGGGACCAGGTGACCTATGGCAGAGCTGCCTGACCTTTACCAAAACTTCATGAGGATGAACTTGGGACTCAAACCTGACATTAAAACCTTTCAGTGGGTCTATGTGTGCAGGGAGGTTGCCTAATATCTCTGCACATAGCTGTGCAAATCATCAGCTAAAGTGAAGAGTAAACCAAGCCCAGCCTAATGGCACACGCCTGTAATCCCAGCTACTTGGGAGTCTAAGACAGGAGAATCAAGAGTTCAAGGCCAGCCCAGGCCAAGTTAGCAAGACCCTATCTCAAAACCAAAATAGGAACAAAAGAGCTAAGGGCATAGCTTAAGTGATAGAGTGTTTACCTAACAAGTGACAGACGCTGGATTCAATCCCCATTACTGGGAAAAAAAAAATAAGAATAAATAGAAGCCATGAAGAGAGAGACTATTGGGTACAATCATGAGACAGCACACATTAAATGGTGGCCAGTTCAAATGGCAGTCCAGGGGGTGTCTGCATCAGGAGCCGTCCTTCAGAGGGCAAACGCCTTTAACTTTCCATATGCTGTAAAGAGGGACCTAATGTCCGGGCACATGGAGTCTGTATGGTTGTACCATCTCCTCCTCAAAGCTGAGCCCACTGCCCAAGACAGCACAGTGGTAACTGGGATGAAGACAGCCTGGGAGCCAACCCCCAAGATTTGGCCCTGGTCTTAGTCCACTATCCTGCACTGATGTCGTCTTGGTTTTTACCCCATGATCAGCAGAGGATGAAAGTCATTTGGAGTGGCCAGACATCAAAAAGCACCCAGTATTCACAGGCACTTCTCTTTGGAAGCCCAGCTGAGCAAGTTTGGAAAGCAAGGGAGGGAGCCAGCTGCGTGATTTTGCACATTATGCTGATGACAAGTATGTCACTTTTTGTGGCTGTGACAAAATACCTGAGAAAATCAGCTTAAAGGAAGACAAGGTTACTATAGCTCTTGGTTGCAGAGGCTTCAGTCTGTGGTCGGCTGGCTCTGTTGCTTTTAGGCCTGTGGCAAGGCAGAAATGTCACGGTGGAAGCGCATGGCAGTGAAAAGTGGCCTCACCCCAGAGCGGCCAGGAAGCAGAGAGAGCAAGAGAAGGGCTGAGGATTTATCCTTCCAGGGCACATCCCCAGTGACCTACTTCCTCTCCTACAACCGAGCTACTGGTCACATGCTTAACAGCTCCCATTGATCCTCACCATGCCTTCTGAGATAGTTTTTAGTATTATCCCATTTCACAGATGAGGAAACAGAGGTTAAAGGACATTCAGAGGTCACATAACCAGTAAATTCAGCGCCCTCCCTCCACAGGCTTTTTGATCCTTTTGAAGCATTTCTCGGGCAAGCTCTCAGTCACTGCTCTGCATCTGAGACAGAATCTAGGTTTTGTAAACATTCTTGTGAAGCAGAAACTCTCTCCCATAGCTGGCCACTGTGCCCTATTTCTGCCACTTTCTCCTCTCTGGTCTTTGGTCACTGTTAATCAGAATTAGTTCAGCTGTAGCTGTTCTCTCACCCTGAGCACTCAGCTGCCAACGACGCATGTCAGAAGCAATTTCCATCCAAATTAGTAGGTAGCAGAGCGTGGACAAGGACTTAAATGGCAATGCAAGAGGTTCCCTCTGGAAGCAGGGGCCGAAGTTCACCATCAGTTTCCAACTGAGTGCCTGTGAAAACCCAAAGTCTGGTTGAGTGTGGGCTGGCAGGAGGGTGTGGCTTTTCCCTCAGGGGAGGGGACCCCGAAGGCAGAGGAAACTCTTCCTGTCGCCCAGAAGAAGTGAACACAGCGAGGCTATGGGGACCCCGCTCCAGGGCTGTGTGGGATATTGGGGCTGGCCCAACCTAGAGGCACACACGCCATCAATTTGCCTTGCCCACCACCTTCCCAGGAGCTCTTGGCAATTTGCAGCCTGAAGCTCATCTTAACAGGGGGTGTTCACTGTTGACTGACTGCGCAGCCACAGAATGACTGAGTGGTTCCAGGAGGACAAGTCAAGCTAGCAGGGTCCTATGTGACCTCACATGCTGTTGGGTCCTCCTTCACGGAGGGCTGACACCCACCTAGATGTAACCTCCCTCTCTTCATCCCCCTTTCTCCCCTCAGATCGTACCAGTATCCAGCTGGTAATGGCGGTCCCTTGGAAGTGGGAGCTGCTCCGCCTCCCTTCTGAGAACAAGCCACGAAGAGGGAATAACGGCTGAGCAGGGCTCTGAAGTGTTTCTCTTCTCTCACTGCCAGGTGGTGGCACTGACCCTGCTGACGGCAGATGGGGCCATTCTGGAATGCTCTGAGTCCAGCAATGCAGCGGTGTTCCAGGCTGCACGGGTGCATCTGGGCTGCCTCAGCATCATCCTCACCATCACCCTGCAATGTGTGCCCCAGTTCTACCTGCAGGAGACATCCTTTCCCTCAACCCTGAAGGAGGTACTGGCCCCTTGCTCACCATTGCCCAGCCTCAGCAGATAAATGAAGGACTTCCACAAGAGGACTCCACCCCAATGACAGATCCACCCCATAGGTCTCTGGAGCCCCTGAATGAGGTGGATCTGACTTCACCATCTCTCCCTTGACCTCAGGGAGACTATGGCCAGAACCCAGCTGGGCAGTAAACCCAGAGGAACTATAGGGGTGTCAGACACATAAACCAAAAGGGAGTTGGTAGGGAGCTTCCATGGGAGCAAGTGTGCACTGACTGCTCCAGTCTGTTGACTCCAGCTTCCCTTAGCAGAAGAGCATGCCAGGATTCCCTTTTCAACAGAAGTCACCATGGTTTTAGAGCTGGATCCCCAGGACTAGCCTGGTTAAAGGCCCCTTCTCCAGTCACATCATGAGGACGTGGAGGTTAGGGCTTCAGCATAGGAATTTTGAGGGACACAATAGCCCATGACAGAGGTCATCAGCCTCCCAGGCAATTCATGAGCGTATCAGTCACCCAGAGAGAGTAGGATTGGGTGAGAAGAGAAATTACCTTAGAGAACAGGGCATTCGGCCCATGACAGGGGGTAGAGAAGCCATGAAGGAAATGGAAGAGCAGATAGAAGAATGGACTCTGGTGGAGTTCCAGAGTCAACAGGATGTTCCTGAGCATCCTGTTGGAGGGGTCCATAGTGTCCAGTGCTACAGAGAATCAGGGATCTGTGCCCAGTCAATAGGAGGCCATCAATGCCCTCTGGGAGAATGGCTACTAGAGAGTGTTGAGCAGTTTAAGGGGTACATGACCATCACAGGCAAGAACGTATGGATCCCCATCCAAGAGGGGCTGCAATCCTGCAAGCCTGTTGAATCTCTTTTCCTGACTCTTTTGCTCACACAATTCAAATCAAAATTTACTAATTTCTCTAACTAAATAGTTTAGCCCAGAGATAAACAGATTGCTTCTTTCCACTAGAAGACTGGCTACGCCCCATGCTGTTATTAGCACATAGACAGTGTCCTGACACCTGTCCTCTCCTTTCTGCTCTTCCTTTCACCCCTCCAAGATGGGCTGAGACTGATTACAGCAAAGTCCTGGGTTTATTGGAATCTGATCTTGGGCTGCCTCCCCAAAACCTCAACATGAGCACACACACACACGCACACACACACATGCACACACACACGGGCTGACAGTGCTCTCCAGAGTTCAGAGTGCTGCCTCCAGCTCATCTCAACGTGGAGGCATCCCCCGAGACATAGCATCCCCGAAAACTCAAAGTGACTTTTAAGCAATGGTCTAAATTCCTCTCAAAGTTTCCAATCGCTTTGACTTTGAAAGGCTGGGTTAACACATGACAAATAGCGATTGTAGTCTCCTGACCTCAAAGACAAAGTAAGCAAGGGTGCATATGTGCACACACATGTAATTACACAACCAAAACACTCAACCAGGTGGAAGGAAGGAGCCTGGCTGTGTTTCTTCCTCCATGTGACCTTGATCAAGTGCCTCAGATTCTTTGGGCCTTGATTTTGTAGTCTCCAAAGTGAGGTTGGATTTGTTTTTACAGAATGCTCTGACATTCTGTAAGCCAGTGCAGAACTTGGATGAAAACTTGATCCCAGGACTATGGATGTAGCTCAGTGGTGAAGCACTTGCTAATGTGCTTGAGATCCTAGATTTGATCCCCAGCTCTGCAAGAAAATAAAATGACTCCCCACCCTTGAGACAGAGGTCCTGGGAAACAGGATTTTGTTCTTCCCACTCACCTGCCAGTCAGCATCATTGAAGGATTCTCTTGAGATGCATTCAAGGGAACCCTGCATGTGGATCTTCTGTCCTCACTGCCCCCACACCTTGTGGAGAGACTCCCTCACCACCCTCCCCTCTCCTGACATCATGAGGGGATATATGAATTCCAGGATCAGATTCTGGACTGGATGTGCTGTTTGGCCCTGTTTTGCTCACAAATGTTGTCACCCCTCTTTTTTTTTTTTCTTTTTGGTGCTTGAATTCAGGGCCTCATGCTTATTAGACAGGCACTCTACCACTTGAGCCACTTTTCCAGCTCTGTTTTTGTGTTAAAATTTTTTGAGATAGGGTCTCACGAACTATTTATCCAGGCTGGCTTCAAACCATGATCCTCCTGATCTCTGCCTCCTCAGTAGCTAGGATTACAGGAGTGAGCCACCAGCGCTCTCAATGTGATCCCCACCTGCCCGCCCTGCCTCTTGCCATTGGGCAAGCAGCTCTGGAGAGCAAAGATCTCTAAAGCATCATTTGCTCCACAGTGCTCAATCCAGAGGTAACTCAGTGGTCGGCCGATCCAGAAAATTCTTGAGATTTTCTCCATCTGCTGCAACCCATGTCCATCTCAGATCCAATTCCATGCTCCCCAGTCCTGGTCGTCTTAAAGGCATCTCAATATGATTTTTGAATCCCTCTCTGTTCACCGTAGGGATCATTCTCGGGCTTCTAGCTGCAGCACAGCAGGGGGAGGGCAGATGGCCAGCTCAGTTTGGTGAAAGGGATGCCGAGAATGAATTTGCCTTTAGGCCTTCTAGCAAATTCTCAGCATTGCCAGCTCTGTAGTCTGGTTAGTATAGAATCCCAGCCAGTTAGAAGACGTGGGGATTTTAGAAGTCATTGTCACCTGCTTGCCCCTTATGCCACCCAAACCTTAACAAGATGTGGTGAGTGCAGCTGGCCATCTGCATCACATCCCTGTCCCTGAGGAGAAGGATTGGTCCTGGTGACAAACTCCCACTCTCTTGGGTGGTCATCTGCTGATGACTGTCCCAGGCATGAACATGGAGTCCGCTGCTTTGGTTCGTATGCCTGGTAACCAGTTCCCCACACCAACTCAACATTACTGTAAGTCTAATTGTGAGAGACAGAACCCACTAGGACCGTTTGTGCTAATAACATACCCAAGAAGCAATTCCTCTGGGGCCAAATTCCTTTGATGGTGCTCCCAGGAAACACAAGTCAGATCAAGGAAACCTGTGATCCCAGAGACCATCATTCTACAAACAGGAAAGTCTGTGAGCCTAGGAGAGTTTAATTCACACTGGGATGGACCCTGGATGGTTCCACTTAGTGCTAGGTAAGTACCATGGTCTAATCTGGTAATGAGTTGCCCTTGAGTCATGGAACTGTCCAGGTGGGAAGCTAGACATGCCTCTCTCAAGAACCAGAGCTGAGGAAATGTCGAGACATTTACTACTGGGATTTTAGACTTGAATGCAGAACTTATCCCAAGAGTTGGCTCTTAGCCAACTCCACAGTGCCCGTCAATTCCAAAATCTATCTTGTGTTGCCTCCAAACTTGTCATGTATCTCTGGATGGGTCTCAGGGAGACGTTATTTCCTATGTGATACTATCTCAATGTGCGCAATCATGAGCCAGCAGAGTGGAAGTCTCCTGTTCATTTTATTAAGGAGCTACTAAGTGTTGGGGATAAGAGATGATAACAGTATGACAATCTAAGGGTAGCAGTGCTGGAAACTATAGTCTATACCTATACAGTGCTTACTATGTGTCTTGTACCATTTTGAGCACTTTCTACCCTCTTAGCTCATTTAATCTCCATAACACTCCTGACATAGGTATTGTTATCAGATCGGTATTTCTAGATGAAGAACTTGAGGCACAGGTGTGTTAGGTAACTTCCTCAAACTCATGCAGTTAGTAACTGCTTAAGCTAGGACAATTAAGATATCTCTTTGAACTCTAAGCTACTTAGGGACATCAACATGTACGTGGACTTTTTCAATGCCCAGCGTGTTTAAAACTCATCACAGGCCATTGGCAACGGCAAGGCAATTTTAGGTATTTTCTTTTGAAGAGGAGAAAGTGAGGTTCACCTGGGCCCTGACTTCCAGCCTTCCCTCCTGTGTACTTGTGACCAAAACAGTCATTGCCTTCCCTCTTGCCATGCCAGGTCCTCGACAACCTGGACAGCCATCTGAAGAAATCAGAGTACTTCCGCTTCCTCTGGTTCCCACACAGTGAGCATGTCAGCATCATTTACCAGGACCACACCGACAAGGTAGCTGCAGTGCCCACCCTACCCCCAGCCTTCTGCAGCACCCTGAGCAGTGGCTGCCAGTGACTAACCCTGCACTCTCTATCCTCACCACACCACACAGCTTGCACTTCCAGGGTGGCTGGCATTTGCCACCCTGATGGTCAGTAACACAGTAGAATCATTGAGTAGGAGGAGCAAACAGGCAGGCCAGAGGGTGGAAAGAAGGAAGGTGACCAGTTGGGGGTCCAGTGTATCCAAGAGTGTGGACATGAAAGAGTCTGGTCAAGGGACACCCTAGCTACAGGGGAAGGAAAGCAGAGGACAGAAGTACAGGTAGGACCTGGTAAGATGGATTAGAGTCCCAGACAGCTGGACTGGACCTCAGAACCCTCCTATGTTCCTCTTCCCCCAGCACTCCTACCCACCTCCAATTGTGCAGTTCAAGAGAACAATAATTTCGTCGTCTGCCCTCCATGTCCGTAGCAAACAGGCTGCTTCTAAGCAGAGGGAAACAAAGTCATCACTGAGGATGAATGTTGACGGCACCATGAACCCCACTGTGTGCAGCGGCCAGTGTAGGCTGTTGCTAAGCACCTGGATTATGGGGTATTAAGAGGAGGGACAGATGCATGTATTTGTTTTGAGCAAAATAAATGAATAAACACGTAGAGAAATAATTATGAAATGAAGGATAGGGTTTGGAAACTGTCACCAAGAAGTAAGGCTTTGTCCTGGGGTTGGGTTGGGTTGTTCCTCTCCAACATGAAGCCACTTCTGGAGCACATCTTCTTGTAAGGGGACGCTATGATGAACAGGTCGGAAGGCAGCTCAGCCCTGGTGTTGAACTAATGACAAATTCTCCCTCCCAGCCCCCCTCCTCTTCAGCCAACTGGTTTTGGGACTACGCCATTGGATTCTATTTACTGGAGTTCCTGCTCTGGACCAGGTAGGGAGGCTACAGGGTATTTTCCAGCATCTGCCATTAAGGGTGTATTCCACCAGAAGAATAACACCCTACCTTTATGCATGCAAAATGGATCTGTCTTCCAGGTCTAGGGCAGTGGTTTTCATTCCTGGCTGCACATTTCAATCATCTGTGGAGCCCAAGGTTCATATTGAGGGCTGTGGAAGTCACTAGAAGGGTTGAAGGAGTGTTTTAAAATAAACCATCCAGCTGCTGTAGATGAAAGGGGCAGGAAAGGATTCTGGGAGGAGCTGTGGCACAAGTGCTTACTAAAGATGCTTGTGATGAGGTGATAGCAATGGAGATGGAGAGAAGTGGATGGATGGATGGATGGATGGATGGATTCAGGGATATTCATCAGTTTTTTTCATCACTATGACAAAATACCTGAGAAAATCAATTTAAAGAAAGAAAGCTTCAGAGGTTTCCGTGCATGGTCACTTGACTCCATCACTGTGGGCCTGTGGTGATGCAGAGCATCATGGAGGAGAAGGCATAGTGGAGCAGAGCTGCTCACGTCATGGTAGCTGGGACGCAGAGAGAGAGAGAAAGAGGAGGGGTCTAATGACAAAGACAGGCCCCAGTGACCTAATTTCTCCAGTTAGTCCCCACCTCCTAACAGCCCATTCAGCTGTGAACTCATCAGTGGGCTAATCCATTGATGAAGTCAGTGCTCTTATGATCCAGTCACCTCTCAAAAGGGCCACTAGCTGGTCACCAACCCTGTAATACATGAGCCTTTGGGGGACATTTCGTATCCAAGCCACAACACCAGGAATATCTAGAAGGCAGAAGTACCCAGACCAAGAGCAAATAAATAGTGGGTGTGCCCAGGCATAGATGAAATAGTTCACCAGGCTACTTGATCAGGGTCTGCCTGGGATTTACGTTCTGTCAGTCACTTTCACAGAGTGAGCGGCTCAGGAGTTCCCAGGGTGTTGATTTATTTCCCAATAAGGAGACATGTCATTGTCATCGTTTGTGTACTGCATGGAGCACATAACCATCAGCTACTTTATGCTGGGCCACCTTTGCAGTGACAGGAAAAAAAACAACAGGGATTTCCATCCTGGAATTTAGTTTCATCATTTCTCACATGTTGACATCTCACAGTGGGAAGCCTTTCCCACTGGTTCAGGCCAAGTGAAGAGTTTCCTGTCTGGCTCCCACCTTCTGTACACCCCAGAGGTGTGTCTCACTCAGGCAGGTCTTGGGGAAGCTGCCTGAGTCTCATTAGCTTTGAAGCAAATGTCTGGCATCTGATGTCTAAGACTCACTCCAGGGTTGTACAGGGATAAAGTCCAGTGGATATTAGCCTGAACTCTGGGCTCCATCTCTCTGGTCTCAGGTTCCTGCTCTACATAACCTCTCTATGCCTCAGTTTCCTTATCTGAAAAAAGTAGTAATAGAATTAATCTCAGAGTTGCAAGGATCAGATGAAATCAGTAAAGCTCTTAACACAACCGTTGGCACACCGAATATAGTAAGATGCTACCTTTTGCTACCAGGATTGCCATCCTCCTGGTCCTTGCTACCCCACTTTTCTCTCCAGAGGACAGCTCTGCTTTCAGGCTTGCAGAACCAGGTGACTATGATGAGCACAATTGCTGTTTACACTTGTTAGGTCAGGTCTAGCCCATCTACTGGACCAACCCCAAGTGCATCCACTTCTCTCTGTTGCTCCACACAGGCACTATCCTCTTAGCCCCCACCACAGCTCCTTCCTTTCCTGTGTCACCTGCACCCCTACACCCTGTACCCAGCAGCCAGGCTACTCATTCCAATAAAGCAAATCTACCCTGTCGCCCCCTGGCTAATGGTACACAGGAGAGTCATTGATAGAATTCACACACTACACAGTTCACCCTTTAAGTGTACAGTCAGTGGTTCTTTGTATATTCACAATGGTGGGAAAACGTCCCCTCAGTCTAGCTGCAAAACACTTTCATCACCCAAAAAGGAACCCCAGGTACATTAGTACTCATTCCACATTACCCCTCCCCCAGCCCTGGAAAACACGAATCTGCTTCCTGTCGCCATAGATTGCCCATTCTGCACGTATTGTGGACCCAATTTCTCAATAGCCTAAGAAAACTTATTGTTGTCTGTCTTTTGTATTTTACTGTATCCTAGTGAGTGTGAAGTGGTGTGGTTTTCACTAGAATTTCCTTGATAACTCATGAGAGGAATCATCTTTCCATGTGTTTTGTGGGCCATTTACATATCTCCTTCAGAAAAATATCTATAGAGATTTTTGCCTATTTTTAAAATTGGGTTATTTGGCTTCTTATTGCTTAGTTGTAAGGGTTCTTTATACATTCTGGATACAAGTCCCTTATCAGACATATGGTTTGCAAATATTTTCTCCTATTCTGTGATTTGTGTTTTTCTGTTCCTAATGGTGCTCTGTGGAATACAAAAAAAAAAAAATTAATTTTATCCTAGCTACTTGGGAGGCTGAAGTCAGAATATCGTAGTTTAAGACAGTCTTGGCAAATAGTTTATGTGACCCCCATCTCTAAAATAACCAGAACAAAATGGAGTAGAAGTGTGTCTCCAGAAGCAGAGCACCTGCTTTGCAAGTGTGAAGCCTTGAGTTCAAACCTCAGTCCCACCACAGAAAAGCTCAACTTATTCTTTTTTTTCTTTTGTTACTTATGTTTTATACACCACCTCTTAAAAAACTACTGCTTAACATGAAATCACAAGGACTTTCTCCTAAGAGTTTTGTAAGTTTATAGTTTCAGTTCTTTTGTTAGTCTTCTTGTATATGGTTTGAGGTAGGGATCCAATGCCATTCTTTGGTGAGTGGAATTCAGTTGGCCCAGAACCATTTGTTAGAAAGGCCAGTCTTTCCCCCATTAAACTTTCCTTATACTCTTGTCAAAAATCAACTGAACAAGTCAGGCGTGGTGATGCACACCTGCAATCCCAGCACTCAGGAGGCTAAGGCAAGAGGATTATGAGCTCAAAGCTAGCCTGGGCTACATAGGAAGCACATGTCTCAAAAAAAAAAAAAAAAAAAAAACAACTTACCAAAAATGGTAAGAGTGCATTGCCAGACTCTCATTTCTATTCCACTGAGCTCTGTGTCATCCCTCAGCCCATACCACACAGTCTTGATTCTTGTAGTAAGTTTTGATATCAGGAAATTTGAGTGGATCTGAGTCTGTACCCTTAGCCTTGGGATGAAATGAAATTAACCTTTGCCTCTGGAGCTCCTTCTTTCCCTCAAGCCTCCCACCTTTGCTGCTCCCCTCAAGCCAGCTGCTCTCCTTGTGTTCCTCGCCTTTTGGAACTACTATCCACTTCAGGATAGTTCTAGGCCTTTCTGTCAAGCTCCTCAAAGCCACCATCAGATGGCCTCCTTCACCTTGGTTTCACCAGCACCTAGCTCAGGATGGGTGCAGAGTCCACTTGGTGAAATAGAAGAAAGATTGGGTGAAATGTCTAGGTCTAGTGGACAGGATGAATATCTAGTATGACTTGGAGAGAACTTGGTCTGCAAGGAACTTCCGGATTTCTCTATGAAGTCAGAGTCAGCTCAACGGATGGAGTCTTAGCTCTGAAATTTAGAATTATGCCTGGAAAAATATATGAGACAGATGGGTGACTGTGGTCATGTCTATAATCCCAGCTACTCAGGAGGCAGTGATCAGGAGGATCATGGGTCAAAGCCAGCTCTAGCAAATAATTGGAGAGACCTTATCTTTAAAATACCTAACACAAAAAGGGCTGGTGGAGTGGCTCAAGGTGTAGGCCCTGAGTTCAAACCCAGTACCAAAAAAAAAAAATATGTATATATACATATATATAGGAGATCATTTCTGTAGGACATTGTCACAAGTGCCCTTCAGAATTCCTTATAAAGCTTGGTTCTAACAAAGCAAGAGAAGCTTCAGGCTGCGTATGCAGTTAAATGGGCACCAGCACAAATCAGAACTGTAGTCCTGTGTGGGGTTCAATGATACAGATTTAGCCCAAGGGTCCACACATATATTTTGCATACAACCTACTAACAAACTTCTATAGATGATAGTTCAGCTGCATACCTTGTGACAAAATGTAGCTGTCACTCTGTCATCTAAGGGTCTGATCTAATACGTGACCTTCGGCTTCTTTATATTGCCACTGCTTGAGGGAAGGTGGAGTCAAAGGGCAGAGGTCAAAGGCTGAGCTTTGGGCTCCTGCCTCTGCTCCTCTGCATTCCAATGCTGTCAGCTCACCCCTGCCCTGCACCTGAGCCCATATCTAGCCAGGACGAGCACGCATTTTGTCATTTCCTTGTCATCACATCACCTCAGGCTGCAAGCATCCGTTTATCCTCTCAGCCCATCTCTGAGTGGGCAGGACCACATCAGCAGCAAAGGGCTTGATGTTCTAAGCATTTACCATATTCCAGGCACTGTGCTGGGGCTTGGTACCTGTGGCTCCTTTTAATTTGTGCAATATCCGTAGAAGGTGATGTCTGGTCCTTAGTTAACAATTGAGGAAATGGACTCAGAGAAGGATTTTCAGCAGGCAATTGATGACCAGCTGGGAGTAGATCCCAGGCCTCACCAGCTCAGCTGAGCCGTGAGCTGAGCTGTACTGTTCTCCTGGGTCAGGCAGTCTGTCCGGGATAGTGCTGACAACAGAGCCTGGGGACCAGCTGGTGTTCGTGGCAGTTCTGGCTGTGGCTAAGAGCCTTGCCACCTTAGACTTGATCCAGGACTTGGACAAGTCAGTCCCTTTCCTTCAGTGGCTGGGTCCTCCCTGGAGTGGGGGCAGGGAGCATCAGATGGACCTCATGTCGGGTCGGTCACTGAACCCTGGAGAGAGCTAACTGCCTAGCAGGTATCAGGAAGTGAAACACAATGATCAATTTAGTAGATCTGGGCAGAGAAGGCCAAGGGACATGAATGGAGCCCAGCCTGGAGGCATCTCTCAGGGCAGATGGTGGATTTGGGGTGAGAGTGTGAAATGCCCAGAGCTTCCTCCCCAGGCCTCAGCTTCCATGGGCAGTTAGACAGTATTATGTCCACACACCCATGGAGTCCTGGCCCAGGTGAATTCAAGTGAATTGGGCTCTGAATCCTAGCTGTCTCTTCCTGGCCATCGCCTGAAGCTCCAGGAGAGTCCCATCCCCTGTGCTCAGCCTGTGTGGCTCCAGCTTAGCAGCTCAGGAAACTTGTCCTCTCCCTGCAGCTTTGGCTCTCACTGAGCTGAATCCCTGAGGGTGCAGGAGTGAAAATATAATGAATAGATCCAAGGATGGGTGGTGTCACAGCTGCCTTCCTCTGAGATTGCCTGTACCCCTGAAGGTAGGGTCCGTGTGTGTCTGTTATACCCAGTCCCCATGGCCCCTAACAGTGTCTGTCTGAGCCTAGAGTCGGGCTCATGGACACTTGTGGAAGCAAGGCACGGTCCCTGTCCTTGCGGAGGTCAGCCGTGGGACTGGTGGGATGGTAAAGGTAGAGCCCAGCAGGTGGAGGTAGGCTCTGTGACAGTTCCAGGGCTCAGGTCCCTGGAGAGTGGGCCAAAAGGGCCAGGGTCACACTCAGCCCCTGTAGTTAGAACAACCCTGTGCCCTGGAGTACAGGGAAGCCCACCAAGTCCAGAATGGCCTCCAAGACACCAAAACTATCTGCCTTGAGTGGCCTCCCCACTGTTCCCAAAGCCAGGTGCTGAGAAACTTGGGGCGATTGGGACAGGGCCAGGAGCACAGGCTGTGGGGTCCAATCCTTCCCTTGTGACTGGATAAATTGCTCAGCCTTTTTGAGCTGTGGTTTACCCAGAAATAAAGTAGATCTGTTGCAACAGTTGAGTTGCTGGGAGGACTCAACTCCCTGTCCTCATAAAGGGCGTTCACTAACACCATTTTCTTCCCTTCTCACCAGAACAAATGGAGGCTCCTCATGCCTCATGCAAAACCCCTCCTCTGGAGTCACACATAAGTGCTTTGAGCAGCTGGAGTGGATTTATGGCGGATGCTGAGATGGCAAGGACAGGATGAGGGCCAGACCTGGGGAGGGAGGGCAGAGATTGGCTCTACCAATGTATCCAGGGCATTCAGCTCATTCATGCTTTCACCAGGCCAAGAAAAACATCGCCATGAGGCTGAGCCTTATCACAGTGAGTCTTCAGTGGCTCCAGAAAATGCCTGACTTGCCATGGCAGGAGAACCAGCTCAGTTTCACAGAGTCCTGTGCTGGCCTTTGCCCCTCCAGGAGCCAACTCTCCCAGGGCTCAGAACAGGCAGAAGCTGGGCTTATGAGTGGTTTGGATGGATAGACTTCCTCTCTGGACCGTTGGTCCCCTGCCAGGACCCTCCCACCCTCCGCCCAATCGGGCCCTAAGGAGCTCCTGGCTGCAGAGCTGAGGTTAGACTCCTCTGAGGCTGCCATTCAGCCTCTCTGTTTACAGCCTGCAGCACAAGGCTCTTCACTCTAACTGTGCAGAATATATCACATACTCAAGAATGCAACCTCGTCATTCACCTCACTGGATGATCCCCCTGCTTTCCTCATGTTCCCAAGCCTTGAGCACATCAATGCGGTGGACTTCAGGGGCCCAGTCATCAGAGGCAGAAATAAATGTTAGCTAGTCACACTATGTACAGCTGGCAGGGATGACCTGTTGTGCAGGTGACTGGCCAACCTCCAGAGTTTTCCTCCTCCCTTCCTCCCGGGCAGGTACCACAGGCACTGTGTCTGACACTGGGCTGGCCTAAAGAATTCTGTCTCTGTGTTCTTGGCTTTTAGCATATCTTTGGTAAACATTTAGTTCTTTTACAAAGAGAAGAAAAGAACTTGTGTGTGTACGAGCACATGCATACAATGTCTGTGTGTGTGTGTGTGTGTGTGTGTCTGTGTGTCTGTCTGTGTGTGTGTGTGTCTGTGTGTGTGTCTGTGTCTGTGTGTGTGTGTGTCTGTGTGTGTGTGTGTGTGTGTGTGTGTGTCTGTCTGTGTGTGTGTGTGTGTCTGTGTGTGTCTGTGTCTGTGTGTCTGTGTGTGTGTGTGTGTGTGTGTGTGTATCTGTGTGTGTGTCTGTGTCTGTGTGTGTGTGTCTGTGTGTGTGTCTGTGTGTGTGTCTGTCTGTGTGTCTGTGTGTGTGTCTGTGTGTGTGTGTGTGTCTGTGTGTCTGTGTCTGTGTGTGTGTCTGTGTGTGTGTGTGTGTGTCTGTGTGTCTGTGTGTGTGTGTGTCTGTGTGTGTGTGTCTGTGTGTGTGTGTCTGTGTGTCTGTGTGTGTGTGTCTGTGTGTGTGTGTCTGTGTGTGTGTGTCTGTGTGTGTGTGTGTCTGTCTCTGTGTGTGTGTCTGTGTGTCTGTCTGTGTGTGTGTGTGTCTGTGTGTGTGTGTCTGTGTGTGTGTCTGTGTCTGTGTGTGTGTGTGTCTGTGTGTGTGTGTGTCTGTGTGTGTGTGTGTCTGTCTGTGTGTGTGTGTGTGTGTCTGTGTGTGTCTGTGTCTGTGTGTCTGTGTGTGTGTGTCTGTGTCTGTGTGTGTGTGTGTGTCTGTCTGTGTGTGTGTCTGTGTCTGTGTGTGTGTATCTGTGTGTGTGTCTGTCTCTGTGTGTGTGTGTGTGTCTGTGTCTGTGTGTGTGTGTGTCTGTGTGTGTGTGTGTGTCTGTGTCTGTGTGTCTGTGTGTGTATGTGTGTGTGTGTGTCTGTGTGTGTCTGTCTGTGTGTGTGTGTGTGTGTCTGTGTGTGTGTGTGTCTGTGTGTGTGTGTGTGTCTGTGTGTGTGTGTCTGTGTCTGTGTGTGTGTGTGTCTGTGTGTGTGTGTGTCTGTGTGTGTGTGTCTGTGTCTGTGTGTGTGTGTGTGTCTGTGTGTGTGTGTGTGTCTCTGTGTGTGTGTGTGTGTCTGTGTGTGTATGTGTGTCTGTGTGTGTGTGTCTGTGTGTGTGTCTGTGTGTGTGTGTGTGTCTGTGTGTGTCTGTGTGTGTGTGTGTGTGTCTGTGTCTGTGTGTGTGTGTGTGTCTGTGTGTGTGTGTGTGTGTCTGTGTGTGTGTGTGTGTGTGTCTGTGTGTGTGTGTGTCTGTGTGTGTGTGTCTGTGTCTGTGTGTCTGTGTGTGTGTCTGTGTCTGTGTGTGTGTGTGTCTGTGTGTGTGTGTGTGTGTGTCTGTGTGTGTCTGTGTGTCTGTGTGTGTGTGTGTGTGTGTGTGTGTGTGTGTGTAGATAGAGATTTTGAAAACCATGACATGATGACTGAGTTTCCTTAAGCAGAAAGCCAGGTGACAGTTCCTCCCTGAACCAAGAAGTCCAGAGTCCTCAGAGTCCTCCCTTTGTAACTCCCTTGGTCCCTTTGTAACTACCTAGACAGCTCCAGCATCATTTCTAGGGACAGGAATCTGTGACCTGAGACCTCATCCTAAAATGCTGCCCCTCCCCGCCCCCCGCATTGGCTTAATCCTGACACAGTCAAGGTTTCCCAAGATGTGGAGGGAGGGTTAATACCACAGTCTTCATGGAAATTTATCTGGCAACAACTCACTAAAATTAAAACTCATTCACCCTTTGTCCCAACAAGCTGGCAAAGCTTTGGGACAATGACATTTATTACACTGAAAACAGACCAGGTGAATGGTGAAGTAAAATGTGCCATGTCCCTACCACCACAAGGCTAGTGGGAGTGTGATTCAGAGCCATATTGGCCCAGTCTGGAGGAATTTCAACTGTAGATAAGTCACAAGGGTCACCTGAGCAGCAGAGTAGGCCCAGATAAGGCCTTGATTTAGAAACAACTCAGTTGAGCCCCTGACAAACAGCAGGCACACCATAAATACCATGAATTACGATTATTCTGTTTGTCTAGCCCAGTCCAATGCCCTCTCTATCCTGTCCCCTGCAGCACCTTCCTGCCATGCCTCGTGGCCTGGATCAACCGTTTCTTCTTCTGGCTACTGTTCACCCGCAAGAAGGAAAACAGCCACCTCAGCCACAAGATCTTCACCTACGAGTGCCGCTTCAAGCAGCATGTCCAGGACTGGGCCATCCCCAGGTAGGGCCCTCTCCTCCGGGAGAGGAATGTGCCACTCCAGAGCTGGGAAGGGATCCTAGAAACCTGGGCAGAGCCTTGCAGACAGGTCCTGGGCAGTCCCATGCCACCCTGACATCTGTATCCCTGGGCTGAGCACAGAGAGAAGACCAAGGAGGCCCTGCTGGAGCTGAAGACCATGCTGGAAGCCAACCCCAAGGTGGTGGCCCACTACCCAGTGGAGGTGCGCTTTACCCAGGGGGATGACATTCTGCTGAGCCCCTGCTTCCAGAGGGATAGCTGCTACATGAACATCATCATGTACAGGTGACAAGTCACTGCAAGGGCAGTGGGAAGGTGTTCCCTCACATTTGAAAGGGCTGCCTTTTGCCCCAACCTTTCAATGCCCCTATGGTGCTACCTTCTGTAGGGGGACTTTGCTGATCCCAGCAACTAGAGACAGTCTCTCTCTCCTTTGAGCTCCTATAATACTTCCTATAGACTCTGCACTGTATGCCATTTCTAGTCTATGTTATGTTACTATAATATTAAAATTACTAATGAATTAATATTAATTAGGAATAGCCACTGTTTGGGAAGCAGGTATTATGGAGTGACAAATACATTCTGTCTCCTGGAATCCTGTGTTGAGAAGGATTCTGAAGCTGGATTTAAGTGCAGCAGAAGAAAGGTTCATGCTTGATGCTAGATGCCTCTATGGATGCATGTGTCTGTCCTGGTGTCTCTGCCAGTCACAGGGCTGTCACCCGCACCATGTCTGCATTCTCTTTTCTCTCATTAGTTAGGGAGCTGTATCCCAGAATGGGGCTCCTGGCCCTGTGTAACCAAAGAAGTTTGTCTAGTCTAAGGTTTCTTTCTGAGGTGTGTCCTTCCGCCTCCTCTCCCCACCCTCATTCATCACAACCTCTCTGGCTTTCTAAAAGACCAACATCCTTTACCACTGGTCTTACCCTGGTGAGCTTCCTCAGCCTCAAAGACCCCAAACTGCTGGGAAGCCCAGAGACAGGTAAAGGATGCACCACTGCTGAGGAAGCCCCAAAGAGCCAGAAAGAGTTTTTGAATGATAGTTGAAAGGGACAGTGACTTCTTTCATAGAGGGTTGAATATGGTAAGGCTCACACTATAGCTATTTGTCTGTCTGTCTGTCTGTTTATCCTCTCCCTACCTGTGAATTCAAATTCAGAAGTGAAAAAGAAAGGTACCATGGGGACTTTTTTTTTTTTTGGCAGTACTAGGGTTTGAATTCAGGGCCTCACATTTGCTAGCAGTTGCTCTACCACTTAAGCCACACCCCATCCCTGCTTTGGTTATTTTTGAGATAAAGTCTTGCATTTATGCCCCAGCAGGCCTAAACCAGAATCCTATTTTTCTTTCCTTATAGCTGGCATGATAGGCACACACCCCTATGCCCAGCCATATTGGTTGAGATGGAGGGATCTCACTAACTTTTTGAACCTCCATCCTGATCTCTGCCTCCTGAGTAGCTAGCCCCACTATAAGGATGCATCTTAGCAAGTTTATTTGAATTTTCTTCTTCTTCTTCTTCTTTTTTTTTTAGGCAGTGGTACTGGGGCTTGAACTCAGGGCCTCATGCTTACTAGGCAAGTACTTTAACACTTGAACCACTCTGCCAGCCCAAGTTTATTTGAATTTTTGAAATGAAGTCAGAGTTTTTGCATCATGAGGACTGACTGAAGTCATGTATTAGGTTGTGTGGCCATGTTTTCCAGACATCCAAAAAGGTTATTCTGAGATTTCCAAGGCTCTGTCAAAAATATATCCAAAGTACAGTTATTCACTGTTTAGCAAGTGTCATGATGAATGTCACCCTATGGTGTACAAGCTGGATGGTGGATCCTACTACACACCCAGGCTGTCAGGTGCAGCCTGTTGCTCCTAGGCTGCACAGGTGGGCAGCACGTGGTACCACCATTGTAACACAGTGGTCAGTATCTGTGCATCTAACTGCCTAACAACAGAAAAGGCACAGTAAAGACACTAGCCCTGTCATTGTAGGGATATGTGGTCTGCTTTGACCAAGATTCTCAAGCTCACAATAATGTTCAAATAATGCTTGAGGGGACACACATTTTTTGAAATTCTTTGGGGATGCACAGTGAGCAGAAGACCTCTGACACAGGTTGCTGCCTTCTTGCCCTGCAAGCAGTAGCCTGGATCTCCAATCACGTGGGAGGACAGGTGAGGGCAGAGTATGGAGAAGGTGCCTGATGACCATGGTGGCGGGGAGTGGAGGGGGTGTTTGCAGCAGGACAACTGCAGGGTAGGGGCCTGGCTCACCTCTTTTTGTCTCCTCACCCCAGGCCCTATGGCAAGGACGTACCTCGACTTGACTACTGGCTGGCCTATGAGACCATTATGAAGAAGTTGGGGGCAGACCCCACTGGGCCAAAGTAAGACTTGTGGGCAGAGCCACCTGGGAGCAACAGGGCAGCTGCTGTGTGTTGTAGCCTCCACCAAGGGCGCCTCTCCTCCCCATTCCTCTGAGCACCCAGGCTGACCTGTAGGAGATGCAGCTGGGCATCCCTTCCCCAGACCCCACTATCCCTCCCCCAATCCCAGCATCCCTCCTATACTCTGATTCCACCAGCCCAAAGATTGCCATTTTTTCACTTTCAGAGGAATCCCTCATTTTTCATGTTATCTGATTCATTTAGGAAGCCTATAAGTCCATTTAACAAATAGAAACATGAGGATGCACAGGAGTGTGGGAGCAGAACCCCTGTCCTGTGTCACACAACCCCTGGCAATAGGAATAGGGAGGCCAGTGCTGCCCGCCAGCCTCTTCCAGCCTTTCTTTCCAAGCCTCTCCCCCTTCCATTTGGGCCTCTATGCTGTGTGCACACATGCAGCTAGAGAGAGGGGCTATCAGAGAGGTGGGCTTGGGTGTCTGAGCTGTCCTCTGACCTAGGACTCCCAGAACATGGCCCATTGTTTCTGGTCACTTCCACAGGCTCACAACTGCACCCGGAAGGACTTTGAGAAAATGTACCCATCCTTTCTGAAGTTCTGTGCTATCCGAGAGAAGCTGGACCCCTCTGGGATGTTCCTGAATTCCTATCTGGAGAAAGTGTTCTATTGAAATGGGGAGAAAACAGCCATCCAGTACTCTCCCAGGCTCACCTACATAAGGGTGGAAGTCCAGCTGATTCCACAGCCAGACGATGGGTGGACTCTGAGCAGGACCTCTCTCCACTTCCCTCTCATTCTTATAGCACCCCTAGAGAGAGATGGCCTCACACCCAATACCGTTTGCATCTCCATGGCGGTCCCTCCCCCCACAGCTACCTACAACCATCGCATCCTCTTCTCCCATGAGAATATATCATGGGGGCTTGGGTTCTACCTGCCAGCCAGGTGTGGAAGGGAAATTCCCAAGCTTCCAGGCTCCCTCCCCAGCCCTATAGGAATAACCCCTAGGCAAGTGATTGGGCACAGAGGTGCTGTGGACTGTGCTCTGCTTTCTTTCATCGTGGGTGTCTTTTATATGTTTGGGTGACCTGCCCTCTTCCAGATGGGTCCCCCTGGCCTTCTGACTACCATAGGCTAATGACATTCAGTCTTTCAGGGGACGTTTAGGTCAGGCTCTCCTCTCTGTCTTAACTAAGACCAGTCTGTTGACTGACTATATGTGTCCTCCTCCCTCCATGGTAATTCTTGGGGAATGAAGGCCTACTGCTCCCCTGCTTCCCTTCTGGTGGAATGGGTCTTGAACTTGCTTAGAAAATGCTCTTAAATTTCCTTTTCCAAACCTAGTTTCAATTTGCTTCTGACCTTGAAGCCTTCATGGAGTGTTCCATGAAGATCTATGCGCCAGTGCTTTTCGGGAATTAAAGAACCCTAAGATATTTTTCTGTCCTTGAAACTTCTATTTTAATTATATGTCTCAGAATATAGAGAGAACTCTTATACTTCAACAAATAAAACCAGTCAAATCAACAAATGGGCAAAAAAAACTTCAATAGACATTTCTCTAAAGATACACAAATGGCCATAAACAAATGAAAAGGTGTTCAACACACTACTTATTAGGAAAATGTGAATGAAGCCATAATGATTTTACTACTCACGATCATTAGGATCAATATCTATAGTAACAAAAATTTTAAAGCAGAGGCTGGTGGAGTGGCTCCAGGTAGTAGCACGCCTGCCTAGCAAGTGTGAAATCCTGAGTTCAAACCCCAGTACTGACCAAAAAAAAAAAAAATGACTAAGATGATAAATTTAATTTTCTGTATTCTTTACCCCAAATAAAAATAAAGAGGAGAATATAAATTAGTATTGGAGACATGGCATGACTGCTGACACCCCACAAAGCCTCCAGGGCTACATGTCACCAAAGAAGGGGGCACAGTCAGGAGACCCAAGTCCAGGGCCATGAGAGCAAAGAATGTATCTGCAGCAAAGCCAGCTATGTTGTGGCAGGAAGCAGGGAGGGGAAAGGGAAATAATGATGCTGGGTGAAAGCAGAGAAGGGTCACCTCGCCCCAGAGGTTAGAGCGCCCAATGAAATAACATGTGACCATGTATGAGGCAAGCTGTACCCCCCCCATTTCTGTGACCTGCTCTAAATGGTATAGAAGGAAAGCCCGCTTTGTTCTCAGGGTTCAGCCTTTGGACTCAAGTCCCCTGAGTCGCTGCCGGCTTGCTTAATGAACTTGCTTTCTGAAAGTTTTGGTGCCTGTTTCTCTGTCTGAGTTGTCCTACAATATTTCAATAGCAGGGACCAGTCCTTAAGTCTACACACTAATCCCTGCCTGACTTTCCAGCCTTTAGGCCTGCCCTAAATTCACATGAGCCCACACCCAGAAATAAATCTTTTTCTCTGGAGGATCCTGACGGATATATAAGGAAAGAAATGGATTGGTGAAGCCAGTAAAAAGAGAAGTGTACCAAGCTAAACCCTGAGGCTTTGGAAATCATCAAGTCCAATTCACCCCACCCCTGCCCTTCTACACATGAAATTGAAGGGTCAGAGAAGGAGAGAAGGGAATAAACTTGCTTAATATCACACAGCAGGCTAGAAAGGGCAGAGCCTTCAAACTTTTCAACCAAACTTGCCTCATGGCCTTCTATGTTATATAGCTTACCTTTTAATTTTTAAACTCTACGTATTTTGCATTCTGTTCCATTATATGATTATGTTTTAAAGTTTTAGGCAATATTTTGCTTCCCAAATCTTTAAATGACATTTAAAGAAGGGGTGTCATGCCTGCTCTGTGATCTTCTGGCACCTCACAGCTATCTTGGCAGAAGAAGTTCAGACTGATGGCTTCAGTCTGAAATCCCAAGATTCAGGAAAACTTCAATCCCACAATGTGGAAACAGTTGACTGTTCTGGAAATAGACTGCATGTCCTTTTGAGTTTAAGCTTTTGATGAGTACAATGTGTTCTGTCTTTGATCTGGGATTTTTTGAGACCTGAAGGTCATCTGTCTAGAAAATTCTCCTTGCAGACCGCTTTTGACTTGAAGTGGTGTGTGCCAAGCCCAAAAATTGTGCTTCTAAGGGCATTGTAAACTGAAATCCACTTTTTTCCTCCTTCCTGCTACTTCTGTTCCACCTTCTCGTTGACTGCGTTGTCTTGAGCCAGCTCCGTCCCCTGGTGGCAAACACTCTCCTCAAACAGGAAGCAGGAAACTGTGGGGTGGCTCGCCCTATGACACTGGATGTCTGACAGGGAGCAGTAATTGCCAACAGCATCCAAGAATTTGGAATGGAGTAAAGGCTGAGGGATGGCACCTCCCTGGCCAGTGTGGAACTAAATCATAGTACAGCTTCAGCTCTTAGAGTTGGATTTAGGTTGAGAGGTCACTGGCCAAAAGGAAATGAGCAAATCCCATCAGCTGTGGGCAGCTTCTTCTCTCCAGGTGGCTACCTCACCCTACCCTCCTTAGGTGCACAGCCAAGAAAAAGGGGAGCAAAGTGAGCTCTGAGGACCCCCTGGGATGCAACTCAGAAGTTTTCCCCAGATGGAAAAAATGTGGGATATTTAAAAGCCCAAAACAGATGCTTTCTCACTTCATGGGGACAGGGAGTATCTCTAGATGGGAGTAACACAAAATTGGTAGAGTCAACCAGGCCACCTGTAAGGGAGGGGCTGAAGGATGGATAGGCTTTGTAACCTTGGAACCTTACTGAAGGCATTTCGACCTTGAAGTCAGGAAGAAAAGCAGATAGGGCTGGCTGGGGAGGGGCATTGAAGCCCACAATCAGCAAGCACACAAATCAGTGGCAGCAATCCTTCTCTGGTCATTCACTGGCAGCATCCTGTCAGGCCCTGGACAGGGATCAAGGTGACCATGGATTGGAGGGCTCTTGAGTGGAACCATGAACTACAGGGAAGCAACACCAGGCAGCGTGGGAACACAGATATCCAACCCTCCACCCCGGGGCCTGCCAGGCTCACTTCAGCTGGTGCCCTGGTTTCTTCGCCTTTTAGAAGAAAAAAGAGGCCCAGACATTTCCAAAAAAAAAATTCCAAAACAAAATGTTCATTATTTTAAATTTTCAACACACATTTATACACACAGGATGCCTTTACCCACCCAGAGTGAGGTGATACTGCACTGTGTTCAAAGTAATTACAGGACACAGCTTCACACCAATCCCTGTGCCCTCCGGGCATGCCAGCTGCTAGTGGGATGCAGATTTAGAGTTGGAAAATGGTTTCCCAAGAGGAAGGGGACCAGCAAGAGAAAAGAAAAGAAAAAGGAAAAAGGTCAGTGCATCTCTGTGGCCTCACACACATGACGTCATTGTCAAAGATGCCAAGTCTCCTTATGAACTTGAGCTGGAGTGAGTGGTCTCCTCATCCCTATGATGTGACCTAGGATTGGGTGCCACCCTTCATTGGATTGGGCATCCAGAGACTGGAGGCAATGATGAAATAAGGGGCAAATGTCTGGTACTAGTTCAAGGTCACAGTCTTTGTTCTCTGGGATTCTGGTGACAGTAAGTATAGGAAGATCATGGTGCTATATCACTCCCACCTCCTTTCTAAGCTTAACTGAGCCCCTGCCTGGCCTTGAGGTGGACCAGAAGTAACTGGAGCCACTGTTGGACCTTCAGTAGTGGGCCAGGGGCAGGGGGAGCTGAGCAGACTCTGAGGCTGCCCAGTGAACATGAGGAAGGTCATAATCAAGGAGAAATGTGACCAAGAGGTTGGGATTAGAGATTAACCAGATCCGAGTGTGAGAATAGCTCAGTGGCAAACAGAGCGTTCATTACTAACCTCCTAGGCGTGCTCACATGGTCTGGCATTCCCTTTCACTACGCTGGTGGGTTTTGTGATCACCTGTTCCATTAGTGAACTCTGACAACCCCCACTGTCTCTAGAGTTGCTTCATACTTCCTGGGTTTCTCACTCTCTTCTATTATAGCTGGAAAATACCAGGCAAGGCTTGGTGTGTGTAGAACACTAAAGTGGGAGCCCTGGAAGCTAAAAGGAGGCAATGAGACCCCTGATCCCCAACCAGACTTGGGTTCAGTCCCAGCTTTGGCACTTACTGCAAGACTGTAAGTAAATGGCCCTGACATTTCTACAGCTTCCTCACAATGGCCTTTCCAGGTCCACTCCAGGTTTCAATCTGTGTTTAATAACAGACCCCAGAATCAGTTTACTGTGGAGGCTCAATGTACTGGGAGGCGCAGATGTGAAACCCTTTTGCTCTGTCTGATGAATATTCTGTGCCTTGGTAACATCTCCAGCAGACACTTTCCTCCTATGAACTCCAGTTACTAGAACAATCGGATTTCCAAAAAATAATTTTAAAAAAAACCTCTTCCCCTCCCCCCATCAAAGACTGGCCCTTCCTTGACCCCAACCCTGTCACCAAAGCTCTGCCCTACACACCCGGGCAGCTCCTGGCCTCTACCCCTCCCTCGCGCACAGCACAGTGAGGGTCTCCAGCTCCCTTCATTGGCCTCTGTAAGCCTCGAGGAATTGGGATGGGATATTCCCCTCTCTTGGCCTTCCTGGCCCCACAACTCTCCTCTGATGCAGGCTGAGTTTATAATATTGGGGAAGAAACCCTGCCTGGAAGGGGAATGGACTTACATGAAGCAATTGGCCCGGATGTCCTGATAGTTTGGTTGGCCACAGTTTACAATTGAGCAATGGTATGCACTGCACAGCTCCAGTGTCATTTCACCTTATCACCAAATGTATCCTAGCCCTATTTTCTGGCAGAGGATAGTCAAGTGTCAATGCAGAGGCTACCTTTAGGCAGAGTTGATCTGCCCCCTTTCCAAGCACATGGAAAAGCCCTGTCAGACCATCAAGCCCTGCTCCCACTTTGCCACAAGAGTCCTAGAAGCCAGAAACCAAAGGCTCCTCGTCCATGTCTCCAGCCAGAATTAGCCACATTTTTACTTTGGTGATCTCGTGGCCTGCCTCCGTCTTTCTAGTGCCTAAGGTTTGAACTTCTGTTGAGGGTAGAAGGCTACCCAAGGTCTCTCAAACCCAGGCCACTGTGCTCAGGGGGACAGAGGAAGGAGAGAAGGGGCCCCAGGGAACCTTGGTATCAGTGGTAGGGTTGGCCTTTTAGCATGTTGACATAGTTTAACGTGGGTGCATGAGAAAATCCCAAACGTGCTGTGTGACAGATGTAATACAATTTGCAGTTATGGTCATTTAGAAAAATCCCTTCTAACGTCACAACCCTAAAGACTGTTTACCATTAGGTAAACTTTTACTTTCTTTACTAATAAGTGTCTTATGTGGCCAAGACACTTATGCTTTAAGAGAGAATATTCTAAACTGTGAATGTACATGTGGGTTTTGCTACAAACCTAGGATGCAGCCAGATGGCTTTCACCATTTGCAATATATTTGATGAACAAAAGTCTATAATGACAGAACATTTATAAATGACAAGCTTGATGCGTTTCAGTTGAGATTTGTATCATGGTTAATTAGTGCCACCTCTGGCAGCATTGGGTACTGCATCTCAGTACCCAATGAGTACTCATTGGGCAATGACTGAGATGCAGTTCCCAATGCTGCCAGCAAAGAACCAAAGCAGAGAAGAAATGTACTTGGTCCAGGAAAGAGAGAAAGAGTGTACGCAGGGGCAGTGGGCAGAGAAACCCATGGTCTAGAACGTGCCCAGGGATTGCAAGCTTTTACAACTAAAAAGAAAACTGCATCATTTGGTGTCCTGCAGACTGCAGTTCCCAACAATCACACCCGAAGTATCCACGTGACCTACTGTATCCCTCTTTGCCCTAGTCTTCAGTGCATTCCTTCAAGAGACTGCCCCACCCATCAGGAAGCATGGAAGTGTTATAATGGAGGGAACAGATTCATGTTTTAGGAATTTTAGTGACCTTGGTAGAACATACCTCTCTCTCTAAAAGCAAGAAATTCTTGAATTTGGTCAACTTTATCATAATATAGATCCTTTATTCTCTACTATATGATATTCCAAAATCATCTCAGTTATTACTTTTTTAGTTTTTGTTTATTATTTTTCTGTTATTGGGGTTTGAACTCTGGGCCTTACACTTGCTAGGCAGGTACTCTACCACTTGAGCCATCCCTTGTGTGTGTGTGTGTGTGTGTGTGTGTTGGGTATTTTTGAGATAGGTTCTCTATTTTCCCCTGGCTGGCCTCGAACCACAATCCTCCTGATATCTGCCTCCTGAGTAGCTAGGATTACAGGCGAGAGCCACTATGCCTGGCTATTTTTTTTAGTTGTTGCTGTTGTTGTTTTGCTTTGTTTATGGCCGTGGAGATCAAAGCCAAGGCTTTCATGCTAGGCAAGTGTGTGGAATTGAGCTGTAGCCCCATTAGCCTGTACTTTTCTTATTCTACTTCTTTTTCTTCCCTGTACCAAAATGAAGGGATAAGGGAGGAAGAACAGCAGAGTATGGAAAGAGGCCTGGGACTCTCCGTTGACAGGCAGCTTTATTGAATTAGTTGCACGCAGAAGCAATTCTTCCCATAGGCAGCAGTGCAAGTGTTAGGGTGCAGAATCCAGAGGGAGGCGAGGCCTGTGAAGTTGGGGGCCTAGTCACGTGGAGACATGCGGAGCTCTCTCTGGGGGTCTGGGCTCACCTTGGGGAACCACACTCCAAGGCCCCCCACATGTGGGAAAGCAATGCTCACATCTCACTCCTGTCTAAAAAAAAGGGGGTGATGGTGAAGAGGATCAATTTTCACTGAAAAACAGCTACCGACACCCACATTCTTATCTCCACATTCCCCAAAGGAAAAGTAAAACTCCCAGTGCTTTCCTGGCTCGGCCTTGGTCTGGCCCCAGGAGTGGGCACTCTGCTCAGGCTGCCATACTGCCCCTTGTCTGAGCTCCCAGGGCCCCACTGGGCCCCACCGAGTCACAGGAAGGCTGAGCACTTACTGCTGCTTCCTGCGGTATTCCTGCAGCGCTTTCTCTGCCACTGTGTCCATAAACTTAGGGTCGTCCATGGAGACTTCTTCTGGCATCCTCACCGTGATAGGGTCAGAGTCAAAGAGCTTCACAACAACCACCGTGACACGGGATGGGGTGTCTGAGTCAGAAGTGTGGGATGTCACCTAGACAAAAAGACAGGAAGGGAAGAGCTACTATGTCATGGTCATGGTGAACATTGTTCTGGATCAGAGACCCAAGAGACAGAAGTTCTCCTTGCTCTTTCAAGGAAATCTAAATGGCCGACTCGTTGCTTGTTACTAATCTAGACAACTGGATGACTCACAGAGCAGACAGAAATGCCCTAATTCACAGGAACCCATTTGAAGGGACAGTGCCATCCACAAATGACCTGCCAGGGGGCGCCCAGAGAGTAAAAGTAGCTTCTAAATGTTTTCTATGCACAGCCATTCACTGGTCTGTGGTAGAAAAGGAAACAAGAAAAAAATAAAGAAGACAAGGGGAGGGGAGGGGAGGGAAGGAGAGGGGTGGGGGCTTCCAGCACTAGAAGGAAGCTATTCTTGCTCTCACTGGAGAACAAAGTACTCACCTGTGAGCCATGAGACGTTCTGCAAGGCAGGGGCAGCTTCAACAGAGTCCGGGCTTTGCAGCCAGGCAGACAGGTTCAGTAACCCAAGGAACCCAGTTCTCCAACCTTGGGCAAGTTGACCACACCAAGGCCCCTCAGTGTCAGTCTATGGCTGGGACCCACTCACCGTGGAGACCTGGAGGTAGGCTTGGTCTTCACCCTGGGTGAGGTTGGCCAGCTGGGACACCCAGCTAAACTGCTGGTTCAGCTGCTCCAGCAGGGACGAGGTGTTGAACATCTTCCTCTGATAGGACCAGAGCAGCTCATTGTACCGCTGGCTCAACTTCTCAGCCATCTGTAGAGAATCGTTCAGCTCCTGCCGCAGCTGAGCCTGAGCAGGGTTGCTGGCTGAGCAGTCTGCCCAGAGAAGGAGAAAACAAAAGGAGGAAATGGGAAAGTTAAAAGGGATAAAAATGCAAGTGGAAAACCAGCTCATGCAGTTGGGACCTGCTACCCTAAGTGACAGTCCTCAAACCATTTGTTATGGTCCCTAACAAAATAAAGAGCTCTCCCCAGAACTGAATAAAGATGCTGCTCCCTTTGTGGGAAAAGTGTTGCTTTTGAAAAAAAAAAAAATGTCAACTGAAGTAAATCATGTGCTGAGTCAGGTGACTGATTTATCTTTGTGTGCCAGATTCTTATGTCCTTGCTGACTGGTGACAGTGTTGATCACACACTGAGGAGAACTGATGTTGCATTCAGACCTAGAGTTACTCTGGTTGCCCTAGCTCTTCCCAGGAATCATCTCCAGAAAGAAGGAATATTACTCACTTATATGGCACCTACTGCATACCAGACACCATGTCAGGTGCTCTGATGTCCCTTTTCTCCAACAGATCTATTCTGACTTAATCGTCAACATGCCTGTTTCACCAATAATGAAACAGAAGAAAGTTACTTGTCTAAAACCATAGAAGAAATAATGTATTCGGCCAGGATTGAACCCAAGTCTTTAACTCCTAAACTTGGGCTCCTACTCTGGCTCTGCCTGTGGTTCTGGAACTTTCTCCAAGTTTGTTTTCTGAGCATATTCACAGGGTTGGCAATTCTGGTCCTAAGAGCTCAAGCAGCAAAAGAGCTGGGCAAGACCCCAGGCCCCAAAGCACAGCAGACTGGTGGCTGGAAGTCCTTGCCTGTCCTTTGCCCACCCACAAATGGTCACCACACTCATCAGGAGAGCGGGGAACATAGAATTTGTTCCTTTTGGTCCTCAAGGACCCACTGCAGGTTATCAGAGCTGAAAACTATCTATTACCTCTTTCAAAACTACTGTTTTCTCTCTCTAAATTGTTTCAAAAATATCCAGGCAAGGCTATGTCAAACCTAGGCCAGTCAGGAGAAAGGAGACCTTTGCTGACTTCACTTATATTAAAATACGATAAAATGCTGGCTGAAATAAGAAACGTCTTTGAAAGGAGAGGCCACCTAGAAAAGTGGTTCTCAACTGAGGTAATGCTGCTCCCTCACACACTCCAGGACACCCGAGAACACTTTTGTTGTCACAAGCAGCTGGTGAGTCGAGGCCAGAGATGCTACTGAGCACCCCACCATGCACAGGACATCTCCCCATGGCAAAGAAAGGTCCTGTCCCCCATGTAAACAGGCTGATTGAGACCTCGCGGTCATTGTGTAAGAGGCAGTAAGTCTTCCGCAAGGCAGAAAAGAAGGTGACTACATAAGTAAGCTGTGACCCACGACGGCTAAGATGGATGTGAGTCTAGGCCCTCAGGTGACTGACTTTCTTGTGTAAGGTTCTATGGCGTTTGTGTCATCCTATGATTTTTTTTGGGAAAAGCCCACCGATGTGGTCATGCACTCCTCTACAACTTCTTCATACCACAGCTTCTGAAAGCACTAGTATTTATTTTGTGCAGGCTTCTGAAATCAAAGGAGCGAGTCCAAGAATCTTTAACCAACTCTGAAGGCCTGACCTAGCTATCAAATGTATAAGTAACAATAAAGCCACAGACTGATAAGCTATCTTACAAGGACAAACATTAACTCTAAGGACGGAGTTCTGTATACCAGGAACTACTCTGAAGAGTTACAGCTGTGACCTCCAAGTAGGGAGAATTTAATCAATAGATCTGATAAAACTGTGGGGAACAAATGAAGGAAAATATTTTCTTTGCCCAGGGGATCAACACACCAAAGGGGAATATTGACAGATAGGATGGCAAGTACCACTCCCTGTAACATCCAGGGACAGCAGGGCAGCATGGTCCCTGGGAAAGGAACCCAGCCAGCATGTTGGCTAAAAATACAGCCAACTTGCCCAGAAGTCTTGTGATCCTAGATAAGCGAATTAGCCTTTCTAGACTGAGCATACTCCTCTGCAACATGGGGACAAAATTGTACCCAACTCCCAAGACCATTTTGGGGAAGTGAGTGAGTGAATGTAAAGTGTTTAGAACAGTACCTGGCATGTGGTGAGTGCCCAATAAACAAAATAATTACTGTCTGAAATTTCATAATCTGCAGTGAATTCTTGGCATATCTAATGCACCAGGACTGGGGAACTGAATAACAGGGAGACCAAAGGAGGACGCTTTGTTCAAAACCATGGCAATGCCCACCGTGGACTGCCTGTTTATCCCAGGCCAGGCTTTGCATGTGTGACTGACCTTAGGGACAGCCTGCATCTGAACCTGATTCTATACACCCCATGAGAGACTGAAGACGTGTCCTAGAACCACAGCTCAGACACAGAGCTGAACTCTGAATAAAGACAGCCCCGCACCACAGCCCCAGAGGGCTACTGATGACCCAAGCTTGCAGACTGGCCCCCGACTCACCCACAGACAAGATCTCCCGGCACTTGTCACACTGGTCTATCATCTTCAGGCACCCCGTGGAGTTGTGACGGATCTCCTTGCACACGGTGTGGGCATCATTGTCTTTTGGGGATGCATGAGGGGAGAAAGAGGTAGACTGAGGCATTCAGCAACTCAGAAGCAGGTCCTAGGACAACCTGGCACCCTGCTGTGCTACTGCGTGGCCCTTTGAGGCAGTCTGTTATCAGGGCAGGCTGGAACTTAGTTGTTTGCCCACAGACAATGGGCCTCTGCCTAGCGCATCCTGTGGCTGTCTCTGTGTCCCCTAAGTAGGGCTCCCCTCCCACCATCTCCATCTGAGGGGACCTCTCCTGACACATCCCCTCATCCATCTATGTGCACCGTAGCCTGCTCTGCTCTGCATCCTACTGGCTTGTGACTCTGCCCTGAGCTAGTTAGCAAGCCCTTGAAAGGCAGGAGTGCATCCTCTTGGAGACTCCTGACACTATGGGACTGCACTCCTGACAGCCACAGGAGATGGACACTTAGTGCGAGGACCCTGTATCTCCAGTGAGTTTCAGGCCAAACCCTGGAGCCAGGTGAAACATGCCAGATGGGATCTGTGTTAGGCAACAAAAAACTGATAGAGAAAGTCACTCCTCTACTACTGGCTTCTCATGTCCAGACTGCACTTCATTTTTTCATTGAGCACACAGCCATAAACACTTGCCTTAAGTGTGATATGGACTGAAATGTAATTCATTCCCACGCCATGCACTGAGGGAAACAGGTTCTGATCCTGTAGGAGGACCGGTCAATGTCACACCCAGCAGGTGTCGGAAGGGATGTGGTTGTCTGCCAAGGACATAGGCCCCAAGCCCTGCAGTAGTAGGTTGGACTGAACCCCACTTTGTCAGCTGTGAAACCTTAGATGCATTTCTTTCCCACTCTGTCTTAGTTTTTTTCCTCTTTCAATGGGAAGAACACACCCTGTGGGTTGGTAGTGATCACAAACATGACACATGCCAAGCGCCAACACAGTCTAGCATCTAAGGGGTTCCCATCCCTTCCCGGGGAGAAAGAGCTCTTTCTGACCTCGTGTGAAGTCCATGTTTGGAAAGTGGAAATCCGGGCCATGAAACTGGGTATCCATGGCCTCTTGGGCCTGATGTATCATTTCAAGGACAGGCTGGAACATGTCAGGGAAGCCCAGGGACCCAAATGAGGGGAAAAGCCTGAGGCTGCGGACGAAGCGGGACTTGGGGTAGAAGTGGTGAGGCCTCCTGTGGGGCAGGCCTAGGGCCGAGAAGTAGTGGGTGTCCTGTGGCTCCTCGGTGAAGAAGCGGTCCTGGAAGACTGTGTCCATGATGCTGGAGACCCGTGTAAAGCTGTCCTGCATGGCGTCTAAGATGTGGCTCTGCTGCCGGTCATTCTCCAGCAGGGAGTCAATGCGGTCACCATTCATCCAGAAGTAGAAGGGCGAGCTCTGGTTCAGGAACTCCTCGAGCTAGGGTGCAGAAAAACACAGTGAGGAGGTGTTCACCAGGGCCACGGGCCTCCCCAGTCCTCTCACGGTGGACACAGGCCAGGCCCCACCTCTAACAGGTCAGTTACACAGAAGAGGACCAAAGTCTGCTGAACTGGTCTCAGATGTCCCAACTGTCAGGCTAGGTCTTCTGTCATCCCCCACAAAGGGGAGAGTTTAGAGACACCTCCTGGACCATGAAACCCACAAGCCCCATCATTTGAGCTGAGTCTGTCATCTTTGGCCACTGAGGACAACTACTTCTGCTAGTTGCTAAGCCTTCAGGGAAGATCAAAATCCACTGAGCACCAACCAGGTGAGGCCCACAGATAAGGACAGGTTTTTGTTTTTATTTTTGGCCATACTGGGGATCAAATTCAGGACCTCGTGCTTGCAAGGTAAGTGATCTACCACTTGAGCCATGCCTCCAGGCCTTTCTGTTTTTAGTTATTTTTAAGATAGGACCTTGTGCTTTGTTTCCAGGCTGGCCTTGGACAATTCTCCTACCTATGCCCCCTACTTAGCTTGGATCACATGTGTTCATCCCCACAGCTGGATTAATTGTTGAGATGTGATCGTGCTAACTTTTGGCCCAAGCTGGCCTTGAACCATGATCCTCCCACAGGCAAGAGCCACTATGCCTGACCCCAGAATCAGTATAAACACACTAAAAAAATCTTAATTCCTTCCACTTAAGTGGGCATACCATGAAACCATCATTGCTAGATGAGGGTCTTCTAAGAAATGGCAAATACTATCACAAATACCTGTAATGACCACGTGTGTCTGCACTCACGTCAGACATCACCAATAGATCGTAGTACTGGGAAGAGCATGCAGCCAGCCAGTATTAATAAACTGCATCCAGCATGTAGAATGAAACACATATTCAAGAGTTCCTCTCATGCCCCACTGAGAGCCCAGGTCACAGGCAGGTCCCCTTTTCACCTGGCGGCCAATCAGACTCGAGCCACTTCTGCAGACTCGTGCGTAGAACTTCATGCAGGTCTGCTTGAGGCACGGCTTACACTCTTCCCAGAGGGCCGTCATGGTCTCGTTGCACACTCCTGGCAGTTCCTTTAGCTTCATTTCAGAATCCCTGGTCTCATCTAGAGCAATCTATGAGGAGACACAAGGCCAGGTGGGCCACATACAGACTGCAGGCTTCATCCCTCCTGAGCACACCCCATAGTCTGAACCCCCGACCCTGACTAGCCCTCCCAGGTCTGGCCGCAGGCACCATATGTGGTTTCCACTACTGCTGCAGCCCAGCCTGCCTTCACTTGCCTGCCTGGAACACTCTCCACACCCAGCTGTCAGCATCTGCTCATCCTTCAAGGTCCAACTGTTCCCGGGTCTTCCCTGACCTCCACAACTGACAGAGACTGCTTCCCTCTGACCTACTGTTCTAACTGCTCTGACAGTCTCCCCCAGGATTTACCTCTCCCATACATCTCATTTCCTATTCTCAACATCTGATATTAGAAATCATATTGCAAAGCAAGCCAGAGACTCCCTGACTCTCCTGTTTCTACTGCACCCCTGATCCCTGGCCCGCAGATGGAAAGGGCAGCCTATCAAAACCAAATTCATGTCAACCATCGAAACTAACTAATGTACCCATGTCACCTCACCCTGTAATTCTGTAACACTTCATCCCACTGGGTTCCCCAAATAAAGAAAAATCTTATGCCTAAAAATGTTTGTTGCAGTATTAGTCTACAGTAAATACATATTTACACACATATATATGTGTCAGAATCAACCTGGGTGCTCAAAAATAGAGGACAAGTTAAATATATTATACTACAGTTGTCCTTCTTGTCAGCTACCGTGGTCAGCCACCGTCTAAAAATATTACTATAGTACATTGAGGAAGAAGGATATTTTGAGAGAAAAAGACTACATTCAGATAACTTTCACTATAATATACTGTTATAACTGTTATGTTTTATTATTGTTGTTAATCTCTTATATGCAGAGTTTATAAATGGAACTTCATCCTAGGTATGAATCTATATAGGTCTGATACGATCCATGGATTTGAGCATTCATTGGGGGTCTTGGAACAGATCTTACGTGGTTAAGGTGGTCTACTGTATGTACAGAGGGTACAAACATTACAAGGCTATCATTACAAAGGATGTTTATAATAAGTTTTAGGTATTACAATGAGCATTTTCATATTAAAAAAACACAATTTGGAATATAGCCACTGTAAAGAAAAAGTGTAGAAAAAAGATTAGTAAGAAATAGATCAGATGTTATTCAGACACACACACACACACACACACACACACACACACACACACTTGCGTGTGCACTCCACTCCCAACTCTGCCGTCCCACCTACCTCTCCCCCACTATGCAGAGCCTATCTTGGAGCCTGTATCTGGTCAGGCCTTAGAAAAATCTACTGTAATGAATCTGGGCATGGGGCCGGGGCCAGGCCTGTAACAAAACCAGATCCGATATCACCCCCTGAGACTCTCAAACACAAACTCTATCCCTATTCCTTCACTAGGGCCCCAGCATCAGCTGACACAGCCCTGGGAGGATTGCAGATCACCATGGCAACCCAGCAAGGCATCTGCCCCGACCCCTCTCTCTCCTCCAGCAGGGAGGGCTGGGGCCAGGGTTCATCCCTACCTCCTTCTTCCTCTTGGCATCCTCTAAGGTGTTGAGCAGTAACTTGCGCTCTTCATCTGTTTTTTCTATCAGAGTCTTTATCTGTTTCACCTCCTGGACAGCATTTTGAATTTCCTTATTAATGTATTTACTCCCTTGGAGGGACATTTCTGCAAGAGAAGGGCAGAAGGTAGAATGAGGTGAGAGGGTGAGGGTGCTGGGGAGCTACCCTGGAACCAGCTGCAATGTCAGAAAGGCCTGTCGAGTCCAGGGGATGTCACCCGTGTCCCCACCCTAATGGGCAGCCAAAGAGCCTCTGCTTCTTCCCATTGTTCCATCATAGGGTACCTGCAGGCTCTGTCCTACTACTCCAAAGTGCAAATCACAAGCATGATACACCAAAGAGAAGGGCAGTGACACTATGCCCACCATGGTCACGCTGCCCTGGAGAACCAGTGAGCCTCACAGGACAATTTTCAAGGGGGAGAAAAGAAAAACAGTGTAACCTGTTAAGCATCAAAATATAATAACATACTGTTATTTGGATGCAGATTTTTCTGGAATTCAATTTAACCAAACATTTGCAGTTTGTTCCCCTGCACAGTACTGGGTAATGGGAATAGGAAGGTGTGTGAATGACACAATTCACCATGGAGACTGTAACCAAGACACAGCACCAGGTGACAGAGGCAATGATACACCATGTCACTGAAGTGCCACTTACTGGTGCTTAACCTGGGCTGAGTCCAGCACCAAATGTTTCTCATGTATTTTATCTACTTCTCCCAGCACCGTAACAAGTCCAGTGGGAAAGGGGAGTGGAGGGAAGGAGGTGTCAGGCAAAAGGCACAAAATTTCATTTGGGAGGGATACATGAATCCTGTAGATTGACCATACAAATGGTGACCATGATCCTCATTCTTCTGTCTCCCCCAGTAGCTGTGATTACAGGCATGTACTGCCACACCTGACAAGACTGGGCATTTTTTAATGATGAGCTCACAGAACTGGTCAGTTAGGGGCAGGAGCTGGGGGTTTAGGAGACAGGTTGCAGGAAAGGCATCAAGGAAGAGGGGGCCTCCAATAGCTCTAAGGCCACCAAGCCCTCCTGCCAAACTGTACTTGCCTTTTCCTGCCCTGTAAGCAGAGAATGTATTGCCTGGTTTCCAGGGAGATGGGTGAAGACACATGGCTAAGAGTTGTAGACAGGAGACAGTGAAAAAGGCTCAAGTGATCCAGGCACAGCTTCAGAAAGAAGCATGGGAGTCAGGAGAAGGGAGGGAGCGGATGCATGAGAGACAGCAGCCTGTCTGGCTTGGGAAATGCAGGCAGGCCATGTCTCCAAGTCATTAAGCACAAAGAGTCTAAGCCAGGGAACCAGGAAGCTGGGGCCTAGAGACTCAGAGAGGGCTGGGACAGGAATGCAGACGAGGGCACAAGATGAACGTGGTCTTTAACACCTGGGGGCTGAACTTGAGTGGGCAGCCCTGCCCCGGGCCTCACCACACTATCCCCCCCGCCCCCCCAGGGACCTCATGCTTGGTCTACTTGCCCTGGAGCTCGTTGTCAGAGACCAGCTCCTCTCCCATGACACGTCCATTCTCCCAGGTCAGAAGCAGCCCCACACACAGCAGGAGCATCTTCATGGTGCCGCCTCTGTCAATTCTGGAATTCTAGCAGGCCTCTGTTTGGGAAGAACGGAAGACTGTCATGATAACAGCTGAGCAACCCACTGGTTTCCTGCCCAGCCTGCTGCCTGCTGCGGTTTCCAGGAGGTCCGGAGACCAGACCTGGGCTGTCCTCTCAGCTGGAATCATTGCAGTTTATCCCCTAGGGGCTTGGAGGAAAAAGACCAGACCTGCCACTGACACCTTCAAATAAAGCCAAGGCAGGAGATGCATGGAGGAACCAGAGGACAGTCACAGGGAAGAAGCAGGATCTTTCAGTCAGAGAAGCTGGGCTCCCAGCCAAACCTCTTCCCATAAGAGCTGTCACTGCGTGAGAAGGCACACAAGCTTCCTGCCTTTTGTCACAAAAGGGCATCTGGCATATCAAACACTGAAAACACCTCCTTGGAGCACTCATCTGTCCCTTTGTGTCCCCTCACGTGGGATTGCACCCTCGCCTACAGCTGACATTACCAATTAATCACAGGTTTGCGCTCCCCTACAGTGTTTCTCAAGAGTCTGAAGCAGCAACATCCATCCCCTCCGGTGGCACAGGAAATCAGGTTCATTTGCCATCTCTAGTGTGCATGTGGATTCAGGGGTGTCAACAAAGAGCAGAGCAAGGAAGGGAAGGGCAAAGTCAAGGGTTAACTTGAGCCCGATGAACGGGCTCCCTAGGAAAGTCCCTCTGGCAGGACATGCTCCTTGTCTCTGCCAGATCCCTTTCACATGGCCCATTCCCTCAAATCTGCACCAGTGTGGCCTGCCAAAGTGCTCCTGCCACCACAGAGCTGGCTGCTCTGATCCAGAGGACATGGATCACAGCCTGAATCTTACACAATGGGCCCTTTCCCAGAAGCTGGAACTGTTGCATAAACCAGAACCCCCCCACCCCTGCACCCAGGCACTACTCAGAACTACTGAGCCTCAGGAATGGGGAGCAGGGGTTGCGGGGGACTTCCTGAAATGGTTCACATCTAAAAAACTGCTCTCTCGGTCCAGCAGGCCCATCTGGACAGTGGGTAGATCATTAATAAGTGAAGCCACTGTGAAGACGTAATTAGACGCACAGAGCAAAGGAACAGCGTGGGAGAAGAGACGGGTCAGAGCCTTCCCCAGTGATGAGGTGGGTGGCTGAGCCAGCCTGATTTCAGGCCCACCAAGAAAGCCCTGGTCTCAGGCTCTGCCCCAAGTGGCTCACTGAGGCCTGGAATGCCTGCAGCAGGGACAGAGCCTTTGTCACACTACAGAGATAAAGCCAGTTAGAACACCTTTGGGGAGAGGCCCCCAAGAACTTGCTGGGAAATCTGTCCAAATCCTCAGAAATAGATTCCAACCAGAAGATACGTTGGGGACTGAAGAAGAGGAAGGAAGGCAGCCAAGGCAGAGAGTACTGGATGGAAGTCTGGAGATGAGCTCTGGCCTGGGGTCTGCCACCAGGAGCCTGGTGCCTGAGAAGGGGGTCATTCCCCAGCCCAACCTGTCCACTTTCACTGAAAGGCCAAAGACCAAAAACGGAGGGGCTCCCAAGGCCACAGCAAGCTGGTGGCAACCCCAGGATGAGACCCAGCCTCCCAAGTCTTGGTCTAGTATTCTTTCCTTGACACTGAGTCACTTGAATTTCTGAGCTTCAGTTTCTTTATCTGTAAAATGGACCTGAGTACAGACCTCAGAAAGTGAATGTGTTCTGGAAACTCAAGCATCTTATTTAAAATCATACTAAGTTCTGACTAATTCAAAATCTGACCAAGGACCTGTCCTGGGCACTGGCAACATCTAATTGATGTGTCTTGAGAAGGGCAGGGGACCTGAACATCACAGAGGCTACCAGAGTCCCCTGACTCTGACTCTGCATCAGTGAAATGACTGAATACTTGTTTTGTTGTTGTTTGCAGCACTGGGGTTTCGAACTCAGGGCCTCACACTTGCTAGGCAGGCATTCTTACCACTTGAGCCATTCTCCCAGGCCTGTGTGTGTGTGTGTGTGTGTGTGTGTGTGTGTGTGTGTGTGATGGGTATTTTTCTTTTTTTGAGATAGGGTCTCAACAACTCTTTGCCCAGGGCTGGCTTCGAATCACAGTCCTCTGATCTCTGCCTCCCAAGTAGCTAGGATTACAGGCGTGAGCCACCAGCGCCCAGATACTTTTTAAAGTTCTCAGGAAATCCCCAGGGTCTTGTGGCAATGCTGATTCCCATCCCAGTCTGCATTTCTCACAGGGCACAGGTGCTATGGATGCTGCTGGTCCAAGGACAGCTGGAGAACAAGGCTGCAGTGCTCAGTGTCCTCCCTCTGTGGTGCAGCACTTCCCTTCATTCCTCTGGGGCTGATGGGGTGTCTGGCTGCCAACAGCCCTGAGTGAATGAGCTGCACCAAGGCCAAGGACTCCTTCCCCAGCACTTAGTTCCTTGTGGTATATTTCCCTGCATTTTCCACACACTTTTATAAATCACACCCTTTACATCCCTCTTCAAATACCTCAAAGACACACTTTTGTGACTAATATTCCACTTACTACCACCAGAGTTTTACTATACTCACAGTGTTGGGATGCTATAAAAGCATCCTTCCATAGAGTCTGTACTGGCTCTTGAATGCCTACTCTCTCCCTTTAAACAATTATCAGCACCAGCAGCTTCTGTTTTTATGAGGTGCAAAAATTCTGGAAGGTCAAGAGACTTTGGTTGTCATGCCAACTCTGACATTAGCTTAATGGCAGAGACAGAACCCCTGGTAATCCAGGCCTCGGATTACCATCTATCCATAAAATGAGACGGTGGGATCAGACGTCTGAGGCCTGGCGGTGCTTGTGTGACTTCTGTCTAACGCATCTTGAATCAGAATTAGTAGGATGTACCGGCAGGATATACTTAGCCACACAACGCCATACTTACAAAGCACTCTAGAAGATAAGAGAAAACAAGATGACTCATGCATGCAAGCCGCCACCCACCTCGAGACGAGCGCCTTCCCAGGAGGTAAGCAGGGACACTGCCCTGTGCAGCCGGCGGCCACTCACACCCCTGAGCCTCCCTCAACACGGCTCAAGCTCTAAGTCTCAGTTCGTTTTTGCAAAAAGAGTATTTTTACACCCGGCCGATTTTCTTGGGAGCTAATGAAGACAGGGACCCTGCGATTCGCTCCCTGGCTCAGATGCCCGGGGATGAGGCTCCGGCCACCTCTGGTCCCAGCTGTCCCGTGGACTCCGTCTAAAGCGCAGGTCTTGTGATGCTGTCACCTGTCCCCAACTGGCTGCTGCCCCTGCCCACCCACCCACCCACCCATCGGGCCTGGGTAGGAAAAGGGGACATCTCACCGGTCCGCGGCTCGCGTGCGCTCCTCCTGGCGACGCGGGGTGGTGAGCACCGGGTGGCGCCGTATTTATAGCGCTCGGCTCAATGACACCCCCTTTGGGGCTGGCTGCAAATCTGCATGACTCACGCCCAAAGAATGCCATAGAATGCACCAGGAGCTTTCTGGAAACCGGGAGAGGAGGGGACGGTGCAGCACCCGACGGGGGGCACCGGGGGGCGCATCGGCACCGCGAATGGCCCAGCCGGAGCCAGGGAGAGCCTGGGCTGCCTCCGCTCTGCTCCTGGCTCCCGAGGGGCTCACAGCCGGATCCTAGACCCTGAGGGACATCTCTCTGCAGATGATCAGAGGCAGGTTCCCAGTCCAAAACACAGTCTATTGATTTTGACCTTTCACATTAAACGCACTCCCCAAATCTTGTTCCACTTACAAAGGGAAGCGTGGCCAGTAATGAGGGTGAGATGGACAGGGGCCGGTGCTGAGGAAAAGAGCCCGTGAAGGGTTAAAATATGTGACTCCCTGAACGTCCCACAGAGCTGGGGGGTCCCTGGGCCAAAAGGAAACAGAAAAAAAAATGACTTAAGAATGAGCAGAGCATATATTGGGGGGGTCCAGGGGCCTCCCCTGGCTCCCTGAGCCCTGGAGTTTAAGCAGTTATTGTCCCCATCCACTTGGGACGCAGCCAAGCATGGTGGGCACAGGACCCATGCCATTCTACTCTTGGTTTATAGCTCTCTTCTCTCAGGCTTGAAATTTTCAGTGGGTTTTGAGCAAGAGTCCAGGCATGTTTGCTTTTCACTGGGCCCTGCTGCTGAAGTAGCCAGATCTGTGTCCAGAGGGGTTGAGACATCCCCAACTGCTGAAAGCAAGAATCTCCTCTGTCACAGTCATCCATCCCCTGGCAGGAAGGGGACAATCCAGAAGCTTCTGAGGTGCAGCTATTTGGGGAAGGAAAAAGCAAAGCTGCAGAGGACATTTTAGTGCGAGGAAAAGAGGGCAAGAGCTGACTTTGTTCTTGTGCTAGTGGGAACATGGTGAATGGAGCAGGTGCAGGCAGCCTGGTTTGGGGTGGAGCTTAGAAAATCAGGTAAAAGAAAAGAGCTGTGGTCAGGGGCCTCTTCAGCTTCTGGCTGCCCAACCCAGGGCAGGACTCCATCATTTTCCAGAAGGCAGCCTGGGGGAAATTCCTAGGTCTGTTAAGAGATGGAAAACCCTGGGCTAAGTGCCTGCAAATCCAACTGCAGTCCCAGGTTTGCCTGGTGACTTTGGACCAATCACCGTGCTCTGGGCCTCAGTTTCTTCCATCTGGACAAAGAGGAATCTGGAACGTGTCATTGCTAAGGTTTCCTTCAACCTAATCAGACACAATGCAAGTTCAAGAAGATTGTTAGCACAGGGAAAAAAAAAAAAAAAAAAGCAAAAACTCAGAGCAATATTTCTCCACAAGAGGCTTCACTTTGTTTTCCTTAAAGAAGAAATAAATGTTGGATTATCATAACAGTTACATTTTCTGTGACACTGGTCTCTTAGTGTATCAATGCCTGTAGTCAGAAGAATGACTTGTGAGTCCCTCCTAGTAACTTTTTTGTTCTGTAACTCCCCTGCAGCTGATAGAGGAGGCAGAGATTTTCAAGAGTTATTGTTTATAAAAACTGGACTTTGGAGGTCAGGCAGGGAGATCTGCCTGAATCAGCTGATGTAGAGGAAGGGAGGAGAGGAAGAAAGGATTGGGAAGAAAATAGCATGATTCACAGTCAACAACCGTGAACGATTTACTTTATCTGGCTCCTAAGCAAATGAGGTTCCAGAAGATTAAACTTAACAAAAAACAGTGCAAATTCTGCAAGCACCATAATGCATCACTGGACTTGTAATATTCTAAGGAGATCACATAAGCCTACTGATTCTGCCCTCACCTAGGACTCCCTCTCTAGCTCCCCCCAACATCCCCACCAAGTGGTCAGCCTGCTTACCTTTCAATGCCACCAACACAGAGTTCACTACCACCCACCAATACAACCAGTGCCCTTGGAAAGCTGTTGGTAGAACGAGGGCATCTTTTGCTGACGTCCAGTCTGGCTCCTGCAAGCACCCACCCAAAGCTCAGTTCTGCCTCTGAAGCACACAGAGAAATCCAACCCATCTCTCTCCTGAGGGCTTCTGACATTTGAAGGCAACTCAGTCTGCTTCTCCCAGAGACTTGAAGCTGGTAGCATCTTGCCTTGTTGTCATGTGCAAACTCTTCCTCACCCTTTGGTTTTCTGGCTTTGCCTCTCTTGAAACCCCAGAGCCCGGCTCTGGGCCTGTCAATAGCAAGGCCACTCTTGCCCTTGCCCTAAATATTCCAAATCAGCTTTTTTTTTTTCCCCTTCTTTTTGCAATACTGGGGTTTGAACTCAGGGCCTCACACTTGCTAGACAAGCACTACCACCGAGCCACATCCCTGTCCCTTCTGCTTTTTAGTTGTTTTTCAAATAGTGTTCCTTGCTCTTGCCAGGGGCTGGTTTGCACTGAGATCCTCCTACCTCCACCTCCCAAGTAACTGGGACTACAGATGAGTCTCACCATGCCTAGTCCCAAATCAGCTTTTACGTGAGGGTCACTTGCTGGTTCAGACAACACTCACTGTTGTTTTGGTAGGTGCTACTATCTACTTTTCTCCTGTCATGTACTTTCATGTAAGTCTGTCTGGGTTTGGAGTTTTAGCTTGATTTTTCTCCTTTATGCTTACCTATGTATCTCTTTATGGTTTGCCTACCATCTCTGGCTGCTCAAATGTCTTCGGGCCTGATTTTCTGCTCAGTATCCTTGTCATTCACCCCATAGCCCAGTGCCATGACCCAGCTCAGCACCCCAGCATGCAGCTCAACCACTACAGATATGACCAGAACAAACTGGAAATGGGCAGGAGCAGTGTCCTATGGCCACACTAAGAATCACTCTATAGGCTGTAATTATTTATTGGGTACACTCAGTCAATGACAGGCCCACAATAAGATTGAGGCTAATAAGATCATAGAAAATAAAATCAGCCTATGGTTGATACACAGGTATCCTGAGTGCTTTTTCTGGGGTTCCTTAAAACGCAGAAACACTCCATTTGTTGGTCTACTTCAGCTTCCCATTGGGATATTTTGGGGGAAAAGGTTTGAGGCTACCCAATCCTGAGTTTCTTATCATGTGCTTAGAAGTAGACACATTTTCTTAAATCACTTTCGGTACACATGCCGTGGACTGGATTTCACTTCGAAGTTGCTCAACTCCAATCTTCAGCTCCAATTGTAAAGTTAATGAGCCTTGAAAAACAGATGGCCCCCAGATCTGCCTCAAGTCAAGCCTACTTTTTCCACAACCACCTAAAATCCAGCTGTGATTTCAGATCTGTGGTGCTCAGTGGGACTATCCAATGGCTTGCCAAAGCAATTACCTGGGCAGCTCTAAAAATACCAATGGCAGAGTCCTCCCCCAGAGGCTATGACTGAAGTCATCTGAGCACAGCGTCAAGGTTTTTTAGACTCTCCAAGTAAAAGCAGCCATTGTTAAGGAGGGTGTCATTCCCATTTTACAGAACGCACGGGGGAGGGAGGCTGAAAGGAACGCCAGCAGGTTTTTGCTTGCCCTAAGCTTTGCCTAAGCCCTAAACTGAGGAACTTGCCTTACAAGTTCCTCCTGACAGCTGCTCCTTACAAGTTCTCTGTCTTTGATCTTATTCCTCTGTCCTGATCATCTTTCTCAGCAATAGATGAGATGGTGTCCTCTTCTCTAGAAACTAGTCCTTCAAGTCCCTCAATTTTGGAAACCAAAATGGTATCTCGCCTTCATGTATTTCCTTATACAGATCATTTGGCCGAGGTTGCCAGACACCTCGCTCCCTTCATCTCTACCCCAATGATATGCCACTCTGTCCTCTTCTCTCAGATCAAACAAAGAACACCAGCCCTGGCTGGCCAGGTGGGAAGGCAGCAAACACTGTCTACTCAGGGTTGGATGTGTGGCTTCCTGAGTCCCCAGGGTGCTCTTTGATCACTTTTGCATAATCCATAACACTGGGCTGGTTGAATGGACCAAGAGTGCCTGCCTAGCAAGCTTGAGGCCCTAAGTTAAAATCCTAGTATCACCAAAAACAAAGCAAAAATATAACCTTGTAACTAAGCTCACTGGCTTCTGAGGCAGGCTGTGGTGCTGGGAGTATAAGACACAGAACCCACGGGCTGCAGGTTTTCTCAAGAATTTAGGGAGAAAGGCACCTACACTGAGAGCAGTCAGCCTTCCATTGTTTATCTGTCTCATTTTCAAATCCTCCTTCAATCTCACGTTTTTAAAGCGAGGAGTGTCTAAATGCACACATCCATATTTATATGCATATATTTATAAATAAATAATAGACTTTGCCTTTTTTCTCTTCTTTCTAAAAGTAAATATTAACGTGTATGATGTATATTGTTTGTCAGCTTTATGGACATCCTCCAGGTCCATACGTAGGAAGACCTAATCCATACTTTTCAGTAGCTACATAATATTCCATGGTAAGAAAATAGACAAATGTATTTTCTTCACCCATTCCTCTAATCCAACCTTTTCCTGTCTCTCTAAGCAGTGCCACAATAGATGGCCTGCTGCACGTATCCTAGCTTGGTGGTGCTTTTATTGCTCTCTGTCTTCAAGCTTGGCGGACAGAGGAGGTAACGCATGCTCAATGTGTATGGATCTTGCCTGTTGACTTTACCGAGAGTGGCTGTGACTTCACCCTCACCACAAGGCCCATGGCCACATGATCATCAGGCC